TCCCCCAAATACTATAGTAGTATATGTAAAAACAATTTAGTCCCATGTACATATTTAGAACCATTGTGTATTGCTTAATTGAGCTTATTGGAGAGGCAATGAGAACTGGGGACTCAGCTGTAAAAAAACCAGGGAAAAAGCTATCAAAACCCAAGGAGTCTTGTACTTCTGAAAATGGGATGTAAACTTCTCCAGTTGGTCGCTGCTGTAGGGAAGGTACATTAAGAAAGGAGAAAAACTATGAAGTCTTCAGGATCACTTAGGCATTTATAAGTTGAGTGCACTGCATTTCAGCTATGTCCAAATTGAATATGTGGGTGGTACATGCTCTGAGAACTTTTAATTTCATTTTTATGTAACAGAGTGTTGTAAGTTAAATGTGTAGCTAGATTTATATTATGCTTTCAATTAGTTTCTGAAGCAAAGCTGTGATCTAGTGTATCACAGATGTTCCTCTAGACAGTTGAGACAAATTTACCTAAACTGAAGTTGACATATAAAATGTGCCCTTTATTGAAATCTACTTTGACAAGGTGCTTCTGTTTTCACTTTTATCTCCTGGAAAGCTTGGGCAGCAATTATAAATCAAAGATAGAAACATCTTAGTAGTGTGACCTTGTATACAGCAGACAATGATGGACCTTTTGTAATTACCTCTTGGTCTAACAGTTCAAACTCTGTTTTGACCAAACCAAGTTTCATTTTGCTTCCGCTAGACATCTGAACATCAACAGGAAATAAAAAAAAAAAAAAAAATTAAATAAAAATAAAATAAAATAAAATAAAATAAAATAATAATAATAATAATAATAATAATAATAATAATAATAATAAAAATAATAATAATAAAGACTTGCATATATAAGCAACGAGAATATGGGTATTACTGATAATACTGAACAATAAAACATTGATATTATCTGGATTTTATTGTTTTGGGTTTTTTCTTCTACAAATCTAGGTGAGGACTACAGTGTAGCTTCATCAGATGTTGTCTTACTAGAAGGGGAAACAAGTAAAGCTGTGCCAATTTATATAATTAATGATATCAATCCTGAACTTGAGGAGTCATTTTATGTTCAGCTGCTGAACCAAACAACAGGAGGAGCCTTGCTTGGATCTTTGACGAGAGCAGTCATAACTATTGAGGCTTCTGATGACCCATTTGGATCCTTTGGTAAAGGAATACATATTATCTTTTTTCTGGGGGAGCTGATACTTGGCAACTGAATAAAAACATTCAGAATCGGAAGTGTGGGTGTAGAAAGTAAAGGAAAAGATAAGATGAGCTGAATTAAAACATGTAATAAAGGAGTAGTGGGTCTTTAATATAACAAAAGGATTGAGCCTATTGGAGGCTCTGATTGGTGGCACCAAGCTGTAGAACAAGAGACAGGAGGCAGAAACTGATGCCCAGGAAGTTCATTTGAATATGAGGAAGACCTGTGCTGGTGATGGTGCGCTGGAACAGGTTGGCCTGAGATGTTGTGGAGTCTCCCTCAGTGGAAACATCCAAGAACTGTCTGGATGCACTCCTGTGTCGTGTGGTCTGGGATGACCCTGCTTGAGCAGGGAGCTTGATTCAAATGATCTACAATGGTCCTTTCCAACCTGACCCAGTCTGTGATTCTGTGTTTTCTACTTAACATATTCCATGTTACATAGTTTTAATTTATCTCTTCAATAAGTGACATGAGATCTGGTAAGCAGTTCCTTTGCTGGGAATAATTATGAAATTATATTCCAAGACCTTAGAAACCATTCATGTTTAGCCTCAAACAATGGGTGTATTGGAATATACTTTTTGGTTGAGGGCTTAATTTTCGTGCTAATTTTCTCTGCAGATGAAAATATGAGTACTGAAAGTTTGCTTTTAGGTTTAAACATGATTAAAAGGGGTTTACCTGTACAACTAAATGCAAGCAAATAAAGTAAACCTCTGTATTTTAGGAACTGATATATTTACTTTCAATTTTATTGTTAATGCACTACATCCCCCTATGGTGTATGTCAGTTTTTCAGAATACCGAATTCATTGTGGAAGAGCCTGAATTTGGATCAGTAACCATAAATCTGCCAATAATCCGCAATGCTGGGACACTGGGTAATGTTACTGTTCAGTGGGCTGCTACCATTCATGGACATCCTGCTGATGATGACTTGCAAGTTGCCATGGGTAATATAACTTTTGGCCCTGGGGAAGCCATTCAGATGTTGCTGTTGGAAATCCTGGCTGATGATGTTCCAGAAGTAGAAGAGGTAAGTAGAGTAGTTATATCTCTCTTGAATGATATTAGAGTTTTAACTTGTATAAGAGATGTGTGCCCATCAAAACAAGAAATATTATCTCAGGAAGCTGCAACAAGCTCAGATTTTATTTTGCTTGTGATTATTTTTAGAAGTGGCAAAAATTATTTAGCTGCATTATATGTTTTTCTTTTTTTTCTTTTTGAGATTGTCCATGTAGAATTAACTCAGGCCTCCAGCGGTGGTGCTATTGGGTTAGATGGCACAGCACGTATTGTTATACCTGCCAATGATAATCCTTATGGCACAGTTTTCTTTCATCAATCCTCATATCGAATCCAGGAGCCACTAGAAAGAAGTTTACTTGCAAATATATCAGTCAGGAGAAGGTCTGTATTATAAATACAATATGATTTTAAATCTATTTTTTGTTGTTTTGTTGTTTGTTTGGTTTGGTTTGTTTTTTGTTGAGTATTTTTTGGCAATAATTTTAAATGTCATGCCCTTGTATAGTATTTGCATCAATTTCTTGATCTGCCAGCTCTCTGTCTTTTCATATACATTGATTTTGAACTAGATAGATGTCTTCTTGTTAGAAATGTACATAAAGTACAAATGTAGCAAATGTTTGTAGTGTAAACTTGATGTTTTATTTTGCCTGTTAAATTGTCAAGCCATTTAAAGCTGCAAACCAACCTGTTTCTGTGATGTGAACTGGAAGACAAAGTGTATCAGATGTGTGATGGAAGATAAAGTGAAAAGCAGAACAGGTTTTGCACCTGAAATGTGGTATCCTGAGGACACCTCAGAGGAATGATAACAATGCTACACAGCAAAGGCTTTTTTTTCCTTGATAGTCCTAGGAAGACTAAATTAGCTCCTAGAAACAAATGTTTACAAACGTGCATGCTTAACAGACTGCTACTCAAGCTGTAACAATCAAGCTTGCTCTCCAGAAGCCCAACTGCTCAGTTATTCTGGTACTAGCTTCAAGGAAAGTCACTTTAATTGGCACTTGGTAACTTTTTAGCAATTCAGAAGGTGTTAGTTAATTTTGTTCATTTTTATTCTTAACCCAGTAACATACAGAATATTAGACATGCTTCACCAGCTAACATAACATTCTTATTTTAATGTCTTTTAGTGGGGGAAGGTTTGGTCAGCTGCAAATATTTTACAGCACTTCTGACACTGACATTGTAGCTCTTGCCATTGAGCAAGGTGAGGATATACTGGACTATTACGAGTCTCCTGTACAAGGAATTCCTGACCAGCCATCCAAGACCAGAGTGAATGTATCAGCAGCAAATGACCCACTGTATGCCTGTGCAGCTCAGTGCCTAAAAGAACAAGCATGTTCAGCCTTTACATTTTCCAGTGCCTCTGAGATTCCTCTCTGCCTCTGGCTGACAACAGAGATCAGGCCATTAACTAACATGTCAGGATTATGGACCTACAAGAAAAACATCAGCAGTACATCCATTCTGTTCAGCACACAAGCCATTGCTGGTAGTGACTACGAACCTGTCACAAGACAGTGGGCCATCATGCATGAAGGGGAAGAGTTTGCAAATCTCACAGTTACCATACTCCCTGATAGCCTGCCAGAGCTGGATGAAACATTCACTATATCCCTGTTGAAAGTTGAACTATTGAATATCTCAGCCAGCTTAAAAAATCAACCAACTATTGGACAGCCAAATACTTCCACAGTTATCATAATGATGAATGGGGATGCCTTTGGAGTATTTAAGATCTACAGTGTAAGCCCCAATGCAACAGAGAAGTATATTGAAGTAGAAGAACGCCCTCAGGCCAACGTGCAGCTAATGATACACAGGACAGAAGGCAGCCTGGGACAGGTGGCAGTGGAATGGCGTGTTGTTGGTGAGAAAACACAAAACAAACACACGAACAAAGACCACAAAGACTAAAGTAAATAAATAAATAAATAAATAAGGATGAAAAGTATAAATATTTTAGTATTTTCTAAAGAAATACTGCAGTATACTTTATAAAGATTTGTTGTATCAAACATAATGAAAATGGGAAAAGGCCTAAGTGATCTTTTGTTAATCTTTAGTCAATACAGTACAAATTTTTAATGATACATATATATTTAGATTATGAGACTGTATTGATTTCATTACATAACGGGATAGGTAAAAAATTGCAAAGAAGAAAAATCTGTGGTAGGCATTATTTAAGCACTGTGCAACATGATGGATGCATTTTATACTTTAGAAGTCTGAGTTGCTTTGAAAACACTTTTTGGGAGTGTAGTAAAGATTCTTGTGTTCATTTAGCAAGCTAGATCTGAATTCAAGTGAAGGGTTGCCAGGAGGAATTAGGAAACTGGCTTGTAATTATATTAGAGTTGTAAGTTTACTTAAAACTATTTTCAAAGTACTTTGAAAGGCAGTATAACAAAAAAATACATGCATGTGGCAAACTGATATAATTATTAGTATAGGTTATGCACATACAATGACCAATAGGATTGTTTTGCAGATTGTAATGTATTAGAGACTGATAACTGATTGTGTTTGCTGCTTACATTGCCATTCTTTGATATTCCAGAAGACAGGTAACTAATGCAATGACAGTCCACTCTAATGCATTTGCTGGTCCAGTAATATGTAGTCAAATTTCGTGTACATATGTCTGCATGTTGTTCATCAGAAAGTGTATTCACTTGGTAATTCTTTTTAAAATAATTATATTCTCATTTTCTAATTAAAATTTGAAAGCTGGAGAACTTAGAAAGCAAATAAGAATTCTAGGCATTCAGAAGTCATGCCAACATTGTAAATTTCTGCAGAGTATATTTGCTATACAATATAATTTGTTAATTATATTGCCTAATATAACTTTTCATTTGTAATTTAATAAATTTTCATAGAGACGTAACTATTAGAGTAGATGATTGCATCTTTTTAAAATGTGATTTTCATGTGAACATCTAAGTATGTGTATGTTCTACTTTTAGGTGAAACAAAAAAGATGGTCACTCTGACCATTTTAGATGATCCAGAGCCGGAGGATAATGAAAGCATCATCGTCAGCCTGGTGCATACTGAAGGAGGGAGTAGGATTCTGCCCAGTTTTGACACTGTCACAGTGGTTATCCTGGCAAATGACAATGTGGCAGGAATCATTAGCTTCCAGACAGATGGGAGGTCTGTTATTGGTCGTGAAGGTGGGTTCTGTGTGTTGACCACATTCAGTTTGTTTAACATGAGCTTCCATCTATGTGCTTTCTGTTGGTAACCATTAAGTGACTGTGTCACTGTTCAGAGAATGACAGCAAACAGAGAGTAACCACATACTTAGCACTCATTTCTTCGGATTTTTAACTCTTGCAAACATAACACTTAAATGATGTGGCAGAGATGAATAGGTTATTTTCAAAACCATATTTCACTATTTTTTCTTTCCCTTCCTTCTTCTGAAAGTTATGCCTTGTTTTTATTGGCATTGCATTTCATTGCATTTTTCTTATAGCATTTCTCATTCATTTATACCGTGTTCCAGAACTGTCTGTAATCCCAGTCATACAGACCAGTTGGTAATCTTAAGCAAATATTATCTATTATGGACTTAAAATTAATTTTAAATTATCTAGAAAATATTCCCACAGAATAAAATAGGAAAAAAACCTTCCATCTTTTTAAAGCTTTTCTTTATATTTTTTATGGTAGCTCATTTTAGGAGTGTCACAATCTTGATGTCATCACTTAGTCATGACTTTTAAGACCAATAATATTTTGATATCTAGTGTCTACTAGTGCTTTTAGAGAGCATGTTTCATGTTTTATGTAGGGTTTGTACAGTTCTGCATAGGACAGTAACAATACAAATGGTGGCTGCTCTCGTTAGCCTTTGCTGGAATCTCAGTTCTTCAGTTTGTAATTCTCAGATATTTCTGATATGTAAACTGATGGGTGGAGAAAACTAGCAGAAATCTTCTGTCCAGGAACATGTGCACTGAAATTTTTGCTGGATAAAAAAATCTGTCTCAAAAGAACATAGTGTGTTTTTTTCCTATTATGAAAGGACACCATATGCTTTTGGGTTTAGTTTAGATAGTTGTGTCTATTGTGCCCAGTTTCTGTCCTTTATCACTCCACATTAATGGTTCTGATCTGCCTGACAAACCAGCTGCAGTCTCGCAGTCTAAGAGCAGCTTTTAATGAGCCCAAGAAACTAATACAAACCATCTCATTCCCCAAGGTTATGAATACCTTGTATACTTTCCATTGGTTAAAGATTAGTCATAGCATGCTGAAGCTGAAAGCTTTTATCTGGACCTGAAATACTCTGCTACATATAGTTTGTATATAGTGCTATAACTGAAAAAACCCATAATTTTAAAAGGACATTATCTCAATACAAATGTTAATGTTTTATAATTTCTTAATTAATCTTTAATAATTTATTGTCATTTCAGAGATATTAAGTATCAAATGAAAATACATATCTAAAAGAAGTAATTATGGTGTTTTTTCAATGTTTATAATATTTAATCAAATGGTCTAACATCCAGAAACTGATAACATTTTTCAATTCAAACTCACATAAATGGGACTCTCAGGTGACTACAAGTATTTTTTCACATGCACTATGTAAAGTCACAAGACACTGCAGATGTTAGGAACATGCCTATTCTTTGCCAGTTAGCTGCTTTAAAACTGTGTATAGAGCATGTATTCTTCGTTTAGTTCACAGATACTGCTCTTCGTTTTGTGCATGTTTTGATAGCAGTTATGCATATGTACCAGGTACCTTTATATTTTGATACTTCTTTCCACAAATGAATTAAATTCATAAAAACCCATGAGGAAAGAGTTTGGATTTGTGGTGGTTTTGTTTCAATAATAATAATAATAAAAAATAATAAAAAATTATATAACTACTGGGAAGTTCACTATCAAAAATATTAAGGTTTTAGATAAAAATACTTCAACTATGATTCATATTTTTTGTTTTCGTTTGAACAGTTGAATTGTAGAATTAGAAACCCCAAAGTATTGCATTTTGTCCTTTGTGCCTAGGAGAGCGACTGCAATTTCATATTGTAAGAACTGCCCCAGGACTGGGAAATGTTACAGTTGAATGGAAGATAGTTGGACATAACGTACAACAAAATTTTGAATACTATTCTGGAATTCTCTTCTTTCCTGAGGTGAGTCCACAAGCAAATCTAACAGCTAAAAGAGAATATTGTAATTTGAAGTGAGGTGATGAAACAAGTATGTTTTTAAAGCAGTCTTCTTTGTCTTGATATGATTAAACTGCAGGGAATTTATAGTTTTCAGTATTTTAACTTGAAATTTCTTAAAGATATTGCTCAAAATACATATGATAGAGTGGCACTACTTGTACTCTGTACACTAATGACTAGTCAGTTTATCAATAACATTTATAGGGGATATTGAATACAACATTATATGTCCACTTGCTGGATGACCATATTCCGGAGGAAAAAGAAGAGTACCGGATCATCCTATACAACATCAAAACAGAAGGTAATGCAGAACTACAGACTGCTATATCTGCTATAACTAAAACTGCCATTTAGTGGTGTAATAGTTTTGTGTGTATGCAACATATTGGAAGTGTAGGACTAAGAATATTGAAAATATTGCAAACTGTGCAAAATTTGTCCACATTTTATTGAAACAGACTTGACGCTTCTGTGTATGTATGTACACGTATGATACAGGTGTCATAAAACAAATGGATATTTTTATATTTTTAAACAACTTTTTCTACCATATTGTCTTTCTGATCTGTCTGAATTACAGGAGGTCAGAATATTTTACTCTTTCATTGAAATTATAGTGAGAAAAGAAGCATGAGACCCATCCCTTCTGAAATACCCTTTGTTAAACTGGAATTACTCTCTAAACATCAAACTAACTTGACATGGGTGGTGTTGCTGATAGGTGCCTTGCCAGCTTGCCTTAAAAATTTGTTTACTCTCGTGATCCTTCAGGATAAGCATAAATCAATACAGTTATTCATCAAGGCAACACTTTCAGTAATTTCTTAATGGAATGATTGACATCTTGAATATAAATTTTTATAATGAATTCCTAGAAAAACTTTCTCCTTTTACAATAGAATTTGTTTAGGAAAGTTCATATTTAACATTGTCTCTTCTGGTTTTCCCATTTCTTAGTACAGTCTTGACCTATATACTTTTTATGTGTACTATTTTTGTTGTGATTGAATATTCCTGTGCTTGTTATAGAATGCAATTATGTGTACAATTCACACCATCTGTAAAATTCAGTGAGCATATGTGTTTGGTTTGATTTCATTCTCAGTCTTACTGGCTGTTGTTTGTACATAGACAACAGCAGTAATGTAAGACAAAACTTAATTTACCTAACACTAGTAACTGTAGTCCATTGATTATTTTACAGGTGTTTCTCCTTCTGGTGCTGCTGTTTTGGACAGTCAAGGATATGAAGCGGTTCTGACAGTAGAAGCTAGTGATGAACCACATGGAGTACTGAATTTTGCTTCTCCATCCAGGGTAGTTTTACTTCCAGAGGAAAACAAAACAGTTCAGCTTTTTATTAACAGAGAATTTGGATCTCTAGGTCTGTATAACATCTCCAAAGGAAATTAAATTTTGTTTTCAAAATCATTAGAAAAATGAAAGCTATGACAGGGAGGCTAGAAATTCTGGAAAATCTTGGATATAGTTGATGTTTTCAGAACTTCTAGATGCATTACTGAAGATTTGGAAACTGAGTTGTAGTTAAAACTGAAGCTATAGCCTTTAATTCCACAGCAAGGGATCTGGGAGCTATGACATAGCTAGTTGGATGTTAGGGTTGCACTTTTACGTCCCACACATTTGACTTCAATTGTTAGTCTGTCCAGAAGAAAAAAAAAAACATGAGAAAAGAAACCTATATGGAATTATCATTCCCACATCATCCCCTCTATAAACTATCATATTCTGACAGTTTAAGAATATCCCATGGAAAAAGTTGCATTGATGCCTATGAATTCAGCTTGTGCCTCTCCTAAGAAATCTGTATTTCTTTTCAATTCAATTTTGTTTAAAATCAAATTAATTGGTACTAACTTCAATAATGTGCTGTGCAAATATTTTTTTGGATTTGTTTCCTGACTATTTTGACTTCCACTGAGAACATACATAATCATTTTCTATTTGAATTTTTAAACTATATTGAGAACTCAGTAATAATCTCTCTTATTTTTTCTTATCTGTTTTGAGGTGATCAGTTGAAACAAACATTCAAGATGTGGAGACACTACAGATTTGTAGAGGAATTTAAATGCCATTTTTTTGTTTTCCCATTTGTTTTTTAATGTCAATCAGTACCTAGATTACCTTTTGAACACTACTTAGAAAATTATTAATTTATTCTAAGTATCCATTGTAAATGTAAAATCTCTCAACTGAATTCCATCTTTATTTATAAAAACTAAGATTCTTTTATACCCTATGTTTATTTTGCACAGATTAAATTTCAATTTAATTTTTCATTTTGTCTCCAGGATCACTGTCTTTAAATTTGCAATTTGACTTACTCTGCCAGATTAGTGAGATATATTTTTATTATATATAAAAAAAAAAGTCTAGTTTTTTCTTTAGTAATATATATCAGCATGTCCCCTAATTTTTATCCTCTTTCAACATATATGTCAGTCTTTCTGGGAAGGAAACTAAATTTATAACTCTATTTAGAGCCTTTCTTAGACATCAGTCGTTCCTGAAACACTCTACTTCCCTTGACACCAAACCTGGTATTAATAATACATTAGATGTCCCAGGTATGTAATGTAATATTTGCAGTTCACAGCACCTCAAATATATGAATACATTGGGTCCTAATGCTTTCTGAGTTCTTGCTCTTGGACAAATCATTAAAGGCTGGACTGAAAGAAATAAATCCCATTGCTTTCAGATTAGTGTTTTTATCCTCTGGTTTGTAGTTAAGCTTTTCAGTTTCTCAGCGAGCATTTGGTCTATTTTCTTTGTCTATTCTAGTGAGCATTACATAAGAATTGAAAAAAAAAACCAAAGTTTTTTTTTTTTTTGTCACATTTTAAACAGGTGCTATCAATGTTACATATGCCACAGTTCCAGGATTGGTCTCCTTAAGTAATGAGACAGAGGGGACCTTGGCTGAACCAGGAGCTGATTATGTAGCTGTTTCTGACTCAGTGATTTTGGAAGAAGGAGAAACATCAGCTGCCATAAATGTTACTATTCTAGAGGTAAATTCTATATCATTTCACTACGTAGTTACTTGTTTGACAACTGAAAAGGACTATTGAGGAACCTGAATCTTGCAAGCTGTATTACTTGAAGCTATCAATTTTGTTGTAATTTAGAAAGACTGCTTTGGTCTTTAATGGTAAAATTACAGAAAGACAAATAATAACAGAAAACAGTACTACTTACAGTAAAATAAAATTTAACTCTCTCATTAAGACTTTATTTTCTGATATTCAGACCAATGTGATTCATTGCTTGCTACAGACTCTTAATTTATCAGTGGTTGCTATTTCTGCTTTTAAAATTGAGCAGAAATTTATTCATGTCTCATTCACTGTCACCACAGTCTTTTCCATTAAATATAATATCTTTCTTCATAACTAACATTTTATGTAAAAATTTTCCAAGAAAATGGAAACATAAATTAATTCTAGTGTTGCTATGGGGTTAGAGACTTCTAGTGTGTTGCTTTTTTGGCAAATTCTGTGATTTTTTATTAAAGAAAATGAAAGCATATACTGGATTTGTGTTTTGTAGGATGATGTACCAGAAGTGCAAGAATTCTTCTTGGTTAATTTAACTTCAGTGGAACTTGTTATGAACCATTCAACTTCCTCCCCACCTAGACTTGGTAAAACAACTTACAAACAATTATGTTCAATTTTATTTTTATATCAGTTGAATGCACATTGTATTACTCTGCCATATCATTATTGCACTTACCACTTCCCAAATAAGCCAAAATGAGACAGAGTATTCTGCAAGAAACATTGTAGAACATCAAACATAGTTATGATTACACTGGTTCCTTACTTTTCAAAGCTTGGTAGAAATTATAAGACAATTTTCATAGAGGAGTTATTTAATAATTGTTGGAGAACACAGTTATCTGAAAAGTTGCATAGGCAATGTGTTAATGAGATTTTAATTTCCAGGTAAATGATGGAAACAAATATTTACAGAGAATTCCTTCAAATAGTTTCTTTGCTCACTCTTTCAAAAGTATCTTTTTATTACTCTTTATCAGATTTAGGAGTCATGATCTACTGTATTCCTACTCTTCCTACAGAACTTCATTTATTGTTTGCTTATTTAGGTCTTCATTCTACTGCTGAGCTCAGTAGCATAGCTGCCACTGGCTTTAAAGATGGTTGGGTTATCCTGTGGCACCAGTGACTAATTACACTGATTATTTCTAACTTCTTCTATGATTTCTTTTTCCCTTTCTTTGCATGCGTATTGCAGTGACAGAGTTAATTCGTTACAGACTGAAAGGTAACTTGCAAGACTGATTGCTGATGTGTAGATACCGAGCTGTGATTAGTCAAGTCTAAAATTTAAAACATAAGAAGAGTAACATTTACTTACATTATCAGTAAAGTAAAAACACTGATTTACTTTTTTCTGAGTGCAGTATAATCTTACCTTTTGCCATAAGTGGTTAGCAGTCTGAGTCATGATCACTTGATGCTGATGTACATAGGATGATGAGATAACAGTTTTAATCCATGAGGCAAAAATTTGTCCTCATTATAAAATGTCACAATTAATTCTGTTATCAGACTATATTCTAATTTTGTTTTCCCTTTTTGTGTATTTCCTTTGTTGTGATTGAGAATTCAAATCCTTATTGGTGTAATACATTTGTTTAGGATTTAGGAATGCCATACCCCATAGAAAATCCTTCATGTAATTCTAGGTGTCTAATATCAAAGGTGATGGGTGTTCTGCACATAATACTGACTTTCAGTTAATCATACCCATCTGGAATATATAATAAATTCTGTCCCGGTCTTGTGCATGCAGTATGTGGTGTAGGTCTGGCATGTCAGTGACATACAGTTAAACACATGGAATTTCAGTGACCTTTATTTCTGATCTGAGGCTTCATGGATATGGAGCAGAAACAGCAAACATCAGGACAATGAACATGTTTTCTTCATGCTCCTCTTGCTCCATCCCATCATCTAGAAAAGGTGGAAGAAAAGGACCAACTCTAATACAAAAGTGCAAAAAATTACAAGAAGGAAAAATGTTCAATACTTGAGAATGATGAAAGAAAAATGAATAAACTTAATGGATAGAAGAAAGACTTAAGATGGGGTAAAATAGCAGGAGGGCATCAGGGGAGGGGAAGGAATTCAGATATGAAGTAAGACATCTGATGTTGAAAGCAAAGCATTATAGATCTTGAGTGAGTTGATCAGACTGTGACATGATGAGGGAAAACACCAGTTAGGGAGCTGAAGGGTCTATATGCACTGTATCCCTATGGATTTCTAAAACTTTCTGCTGTCTGTGTAGAGGTGCTACAGCTGCTGCTAATGTTTATTACCATTTCATAGTGTCAGGTTTGGATTCATGGTGGTGTTCTTCTATTCAGTTTTATCTGATTCAATAGAAATCGTTCTGATGGATCTAAAATAGTATATTTACTACAGCTTTAGGGGAGTAATTTCTGTAGAAATTGTCAGTCTTCATTTATTTTTCAGTTTTTATTGAAAGTTAATTTACGTAAATTGAGATAGTCATGTGATGTTATTTAAACAAAATAAGGCATTATTTTCTCAGAAGAATCAAGTTCTGACTGTCAAGTTCTGGTCCCTGAAATTAGTGGAAGTTAATTGCTGGCATTAATCTATTGCTTAGTATTTTCACAGGGCAATACATGAAATAATCTTACAGAGTTATTGTGAAGACACGTGTTTTTCTGTAGTAATATAATGCTACAATACATAAACTAACTAAAAAGAAATTTTTTTATTCTTTTTTTAATAGGAGAATCTGTGGTGTGTGCCATTAAGATTTATTATCAGGCATTGAAACATGAACATGAAACGATATATACTGGATTTATTTTTTTTTTTTCACTCACTTTCCCTCCTGTGTTCAGAATGGCACAGTCTGTAAAACATTAAATGTCATCATAATAAAAGTATACAATGAATAAGACTTGATGAATTAAGATTTCATGAAAAATCTTGCTTTTGTAATTTTCTAATTTTTCTGTGCTGTGGGTTTTCTTCAATTTTTTTTCTTTTTTCTTTTTTTTTTTTTTTTAATGCATTAAATGTAATGGTGGTAATTTAAGCCACTGTGCTGCAGTTCTAATAGTAAGCTAGTAAGGACAGATTTTCAAGGCTTTCCAAGTATCCTGTCCACTTCATTTTCTCCTCCACATTTTGGAGACAAAAAATTATGTATTTCTTCTACAAAATTAGCAAAGATATGAAGAAATGCTTCTGTAATTCTTGAAAATAATGAAAATTAACTCTATTGTTCTTACATGTCCTTCTCTTTTCCTTTTTAGATGTGGAAGGTTTAGCTTCTCAAATTGTTATTGATGCTAATGATGGAGTAAGAGGAGTAGTTGAATGGGAAAGTACCAAGTAAGTCTTGTCACCTTGAAGAACGTCCTATGGGAGTTAATGATTAGTGTTGCCCAATTATTTTCATTTTCAGTTAACAGTAAAACTCCTATTTACAAAAGGAACAGATGTTTGAGATGACAACAAGTCATTCAGTTCAGTGGAACTGGAAAAATAATTCCCACACTAGAAACCAACATTTACAGTATATTTACTCAGAAATGTCATGCTACCATGTATTTATTTTCACTATCATCCTTTGGTATTGTAAACTCCCATCACTCTCTCAAGCCTCCATCCAGTGCCCAAGCCTTTACATCCATGTAAGCATGCACACTGGCATCTCCCACATATTTTCTCTGATTTCCAGGAGCTAGGAAGAAGGCATCCATGCTTGTAGACAGGCTTAATCCCTAATAAGTAGGGGAAAAGGATCCTCTAGTTCAATTTCATTTTGATAAGAAAAACAATATTGTAATGGTTGCATTATACAAGTGGTAATGATGCTTTACTGTAACAGTGCCTTTTTCTTAAAAGGTAGAGGGGATGATTTTAAGTGAAAATATAACAATTATCTACCATCTTATTAAAAGAACATGCTCAGTGAGCACTGAGAATTTGTCTTGGTTTTTGTTTCAGTTTTGAAGTTAATGAATCTCATGGGAATCTGACCATAATGGCATACCGAAACAAAGGATCTTATGGCAATGTGTCTGTGTTTTTTTATGCCCAAAATTTGGAAGCACAGCTGGGTTTGGATTTTAATGTGATCCCAAGGGTAAGAAACAAATTTTAAATGTAGTAGTTTTCATTTCTTCAATTTCCTCAAAAGAACATCTTATTTACTCTGCAGAATGGTCACTAGTACAGCTAGATTTCACAATCTGTTTCAGTTGCTCTGATCATCTAAATAGTGAGATAGATGTAGTCATCTTATTTTAATCTTTCTTTCTTTTTTAGTACTGAAGCATTTTTAAATATAAGACACATTGTAAACTTTCCAACATCTGTTTCAAATACAATTTTGCTTAGACAAGAGCATATAAGATGTAAGTTTCAATATTTTTTGCAACAGAACTTTCAAAATGAATTGCTCTTGCTTGTCCTCACTCTGTACTGTGCTAAACTATTTAACTGTTTTGCTTCTTTTTCAATCAATTTATAAGGAACATAGAAATTACTCCTCTTCTTGCCTGTTCTTTCCTCCCTGTTTAAGGCAACTCTGGTTTACCTTAGTTTAAAATTCCTGTGTGTATTATCAGCTATTGAATATTCAATGCTTTCTGTGTTTCAATGCTAGACTCTTTTCTTTGCTGATGGAGAAAGGAATAAATCTGTTGTTGTTGTGATTTGTGATGATGATATTCCTGAAGGTGTTGAGAAGTTCCAGTTAATTCTAACAAATCCCTCATTTGGCCTGGAATTAGGGGAGAACACAACAGGTAAAACTTAGTTTTGATGTTCTCATTCTTCAGAATTGTCACTTTAATTTCATTCTTCTGAATAATCATGTTTTAGAAAACACCAGTGTGCTCCTATGGTAAACTGTTAAACAAATTTGGAAAGTTCTTAAACATCCCTGTGAAAAATGTAAAACTAACAAAATAATATGCAAAATAAGGAATGAGAAAATGCAAAAGCTGGATGCTTTAATAAGAGAGTCTAGATTCTTCCTTTCTAGGAATCTTCCTAGGTAAAGCAAAATTCTTACATGTTCTGTTAAGTAATATAAAAACATAAAAGCCATATACATATATTAAAGAAATAATGGATTTATGTATTTATTTATTTGTATATGTATATAAATATATTTCACTCTGTTAATTAAAGCATATTTCTATTGTTTATTTCTCAAAAGCCACAATTACTATACTTGCCAATGATGATGGACATGGAGTTTTATCATTCAATAACAGTGATCACTTCTTTCTAAGAGAGCAAACAGCTCTCCATCTGATGGAAAGTGTTGCAGTATTAAATATTATTAGAGAACCTCCTCAGGGAATATTTGGAACAGTGTCTGTTCAATATCTTGTAAGTGAAATTAATTCTTCTGAGCCATCAGTGGATTTGACCCCTTCTCAAGGATACATTGTTCTGGAAGAGGGAGTCAGATTTAAGGTAATATGATAATTATAATGCAAAAAGTGAAGAAGGCTTTTTTAAAAATTATTTGGAAGATTTCAGCAATGTTTGTGTTTTTTCATGTATTATTTTTTTTTCTTTTCCAGTTTAGCAGGTCTGTGAGACTTAGGGAGTAAAAGACTTCTCAGTACAGTCTTTAAACATGATTTATTGCAGAAATAAATAGACATCTAAAATGTTGTAAGCTCATTTTAATTCCTGATTATTTTAGTAATCTGTCATTCCTAAATAATTTTTCTAAGGCAAAGCTACATTTACTACTGAATTTTTACCTCTTTTGTAATGGGGAGAGTGACAGAGAAAACACCTACTTCTTTCTAGACAGTTCTCTGCTGATTTGAGACCACCTTGAGACAATCCTATTCTTATCCATCATGGTGCAGTAGAGGTAATAAAGCTTCAAGAAAAGAGTATTTTAAATATTCCTCTATTGCCTTTTTTTCCTTCTTTGCTCCCAGTACCAGAAGTGTAACTACCCTGTAGCCCATGAGATAGTTCAGTTGACAGCTAAAGTAAAGCAAGCCCAACTTGACTGAGCTTCATTAGGGGATCAGTTAGCTGTATGGGGACTATGAATTACCAAGGAATATGAGGAATAAGCACAAAACAGAAGTATGAAAAAAGGATCAAAACCTGCTACATTTCAGAAGAAAGAGGGGGAAGGAAAAATAAAAAGAAAGTGGATATGGTCACGTTAGTGTTGCACTACTGGAGGTCACCAGAGGACCTTTAGAACCCCGACCTGAACATGACTTTCTCTTGCCTTCTCCTGTTTCAAGAGCTGCTGTTGTGACTCCATGCTATCCAGAGCTGTACAGAGAAAGAATAGAAACTGCAGCATGGGCTGAATAGCATTGTCATTGTTAACTGTCAAGTCTCAGAGCTTTCTATGCTTGTTTTCAGACACTGCATATTTCTGCAATCCTGGATGAAGAACCAGAATTGGATGAGCACTTTATTGTCACCCTGTTCAATCCGACTGGAGGAGCCAGACTAGGCACCAGAGTGCAAACTATGATTACGATATTACAGAACCAGGCTCCACTGGGGCTTTTCAGCATCTACCCAGTTACAAATAGGTACTGAACCCTCATTCAATTAAAAAGAAGGTTTTCATATTCCATAGAGATGGTTTCCCTTTATAAAAAATTAATACTCAAATTGTAAAATTTATGATATTAAAAAGTAGACTATTTGTGAAATACTATTACTGTTGTACAGAAGACCAGAAAAACTTAAAATGGACTATTCACCATTAGAAGCATTGATTTCTCTGTGCATTTTTACTTTCAACAGTACTTCATCGGTCCCCAAACATTTCACTAATAGTAATCAATATTAGGAATTCCCAGTGTCCTGGGAATCAGAAATTTTCTAATTTACCTATTTATTTAAGCTTGTGTAGGATACATCCTCACCCAGGGCTGTTTTTCAAAACCAAATGAGCCATCTTGTACAAGTTCAACAAGTGGCCCCTGGGAATCTCATGAGGTTTAACAAGACCAAGCAAAGTGCTGCACCTGGGTCAGAGCGGCCCAGTGCAGGCTGGGGATGAACAGATCGAGAGCTGCCCTGCCCCCAAGGACACGGGGGTGCTGGTGAGGGGCTGGACATGAGCCAGCCACGGGATCTCCCATCCCAGAAAGCCAAACATGTCCTGGGCTGCATCCAAAGCCCCGTGGGCAGCAGGGGAGGGCAGGGGGGTCAGACCCTCTGTGCCTTTCTGGTGAGTGTGCTCGTGCAGAGCTGCCTCCAGCCCTGGGGTCCTCAGCACAGGAAGGACATGGAGCTGTTGTGGCAAGACCAGAGGAGGCCACTCAGTTCATCAGAGGGATGGAGAACCTCTGCTCTGAGGAAATGCTGAGAGAATTGGGATTGTTCAGCCAGGAGAATAGGCGACTTTGGGCTGATCCCATTGCAGCTTTGCAGCACCTAAAGGAAACCTGTCCAAAAGTTGGAGAGGGACTTTTGGCAAGGGCATGTAGTGACAAGACATGAAGGAATGGCTTAAAGCTGAAAGACAGCAGGTTTAGATTAGATATCAGGAAGAAATTCCTTACTATGAGAGTAGTGAGGCTCTGGGAAGAGAAGGTTGTGGATTCCACATCCCTGGAGACTCAATTTCAATGGAGCTCTGAGCAACTTAGTAAGTGGAGGATGTCCCTGCTTATGTCAAGAGCATTGGAACAAGATGATTTTTAAGGCTCTTTGCAACCCAAACCATTCTATGATCATATGAGTCTATGATATTGAGTGATATTTTCAGAAATAATTCAGCTTTACCCATATAGTTAGTGTGTTGAATTTCAGGCTAATTTAAGATTTTTTTGAATTTCCCATGGTTTTGTCAAAGTATTGTGTGAAGAAACATCAGGAAACCTTAATTAGTATTAGTCCATCACAGAACAAACCCAGTATTTTCTTTTAATTGCATTTTCTGTGCTGAAAGAGTACAGTAAGAATCCTATTTTTATACTATAAAAATAATATTTCTTAAAATTTATTTTCACAATTCTCAAATTTAGGACAAATATCTTCTCAGTTGAAGAAGCGAACACTACAATTTATCTGAAAGTTTCACGGAGTAATGGGCTCAACGTGTCTGTGAGTGTTGAGTGGGAGACGTTGTCGGATACTGCATTTGGCATCAGTACGTTCACTTTATTGAGATCATCTGTTGCTGTTTTCAGAGTGGAGATAGCTACAGAGTAACCAAATATACAGGAGATATATCTTTGAAATGAGAATTCACCTGTAATACTTTTGTGATATCAAAATTCATTAGAGAAAAGATCTTGGCTGCTTAAGAGTCAGCTTGTCATCCACCACTGCTGCCAGAGTTTCAACAATCTCTATGGCTCTTCATGTTGCTTATACATTTTCACATGACCTTTGATTTATAAAACTTGTTCTTTACTACCTGTAGTTCTGGACTTTTCTAATATTATATAAAAGACACCCTTTTCTCTATGTGTTGAATGAATAGGCAGTCTAAGAATCTTAGTGCCATGTCTACTTCTTGTGATGACAGAGAATGAGGATAAATACCTTTTTAGTTTTTTTTGTCACTTTTTTATTTCTTCCTATCTAGTTAATTTTCTCAAATTCCAAACTGAGTCACTCTGAATCACACTTAAGTTGCCTATGCATCTCCCATATGTAATAGTAATATATGAGAAATTAATTTTTTGTTTAACTCCCAGTACAACCTCAGTGCTGTACCATTTCCATGTATTTACGTGCACTTATTCTAACTATTTAGAGACAACTCAGAATATAGTTTAGGCATTTAGAGCATGACGCTAAGAATGTCAAGATTGTGGGTTTGACCATTGTATGAGCCATTCGCATAAGAGCTGGACATGATAATCCTTGTGGATCCCTTTCAACTCAGAATATTCTGTGATTTCTAATACTGGATTTGGTTTTAGCAAATAAATAATGAAAATGGTGCTGTAAAAGACCTTTAAGATAAATACTTTTTTTCTATTGCAGGGGGTAGTATCAATGTTCTGTCTGTTTTGCAAAGCTTTGTGGAAGAGTCGGCAGTTAGCTGGTGTTTCTTTCCATCGGACGAATTCCTGTATGGTGTGCTGTTGCGTTCGCCTCCAGCTGTGTTTTCTACTCTCTACCAGTGGAAAGGAGTTTTTGTTGCCATTGAGGTAAATGCCTGCTTACAGACACCAACCATGCTTCTTAATAAAACCTTGACATTTCAATTCTACATTTTTGTTCCTCTCTCAGAATTTCACTATGTGGAATCCTAAAAGCTGCGTGTCTTTCCAAATCCATGCCTCTCCCTACCTTGTGATTACTCATGGAGGAAGCAGTCGTGGAGCTTCCAACAGCAGTGTGTATGCATTCATGCCTGGACGCAAACTATTGAAGGTAAATCTATGTTACTTTACAAAACCATTAAATAATAGGGTTAGAAAGGACTTTGTGAGGCCCTTCTGTCTAGCCATGTCTTGTTTCGGGAAACAAATGTTTTGGTGAAAAAGCTCTGTTCTCAGCTAGTTTGGCAACTGAGCACTCTGCATGAGTCCGTGATGTTAGTTACTGTCCTTGTTTAGGCCAGAATGGGGTTAATTTTGCAGTAACCATGAGGGGACATGGCTGGAACCCAGAGGTTATTCTATTCCACCTCATATCATTTGCTGGGGACAGAGGGAAAGGGGCCCTCCTGGGGGATGGGGTAGTGTGGGCATGGTTCATGTATTGATGGGCTGTGTGTAGTGAGCATTTTCACACTTGAATCTTAGCCTCTCTTGTACCCTCTCCCACTATTATTGTTGTTTTCACTGTTCATTTTCTCATTGTGTTGCTGTTTTTGGTAAGTTGTCCTTATCTCAGCCTTTGATTTTCACCTTTTGTACTTCCAATTCTCTTCTCCATCCCACTGCAGAGGGAAAGGAAGAGGCAGCATTTGGAGTGTTTCAATGGGAACACTAAATTGAGAAATACCATTCCTAAACCATGACAGTTATTACAACTTGTTGTCTAATGATTTTTACAGTCGTATTTTGAGGGTGAGATATAATGCTTGGAAATTGTGGAGCAATTAAGTAGTAGAGAATTTTCTGAAAAATGTATAATTAGTATTAATTTTGTAAAGTCACCCCACGTATATTTTTTAAATTAAAAATTGCATCTATGACAATTTGTGTACATTATTTTATATATGTTTTATACGAAATTTTACAGTTTTTTAAAAGATATGTATGTATAAACTTGAACTGTTTATTGTATATGTGTGTATGTATAAACTTGAACTGACTTCCAAATACCATTTTTGCCACATTTTCCTTGTAGCTACAGACCCTCTCTATTACGGATACCACACTTGTCAAACATTTTGCTGCAGATGAAGAAAACTATTTGATTTTTGTGAGTGATACCACCAGTTTCAGTTCCATCCAGGTTAGAATACACTTACCTTCCATGGCTTTGATGTAGGTAGTTTGGTTAGTTTTCAGTTTTAAATAGGAAGGAAATATAGAACTATAGAAACTAAGTATATATTCCTGAAAAATTAGTTGTGTTTCTGTTACAGATTTCTAAGACATAAAATTCTAGACTTGTTTAAATGTTAACAACACTCCTTGCATTAATATGTAATTTTGACTTGGTTTGATTATATTGCTACTGTCATTTCTGTTTTGAAATCCATTACATTCAAGAGCAATAGGAATAGAAATAGCTTCTGACCATAAACCTGTTCATCTGAAGAACAGGCACAGGTACCTGTAGTAAGGTACTTACTTATAGCTGCTTATCAGTGTGCTTCCACCATAATGTAGGATCCACCACAGAAATGAGGAAATCAGCTTGTTATAAGTATTTCCAGTTTTTCATGAAATCACTTTATTTATTTTTCCTTAGTGCTTGTTATAAAATATATAATACAATATATTTTACATTTTTACAGGTTTTCCAGTGGAATAAAGATATATTTGTGCTGCATCATCAACTTCCACTTTACGGAGCTCTGAACATTGCCTTGTTTCCTCGAGGAGGCATTATGTACTTAGTAGTTTCTTTGTCTAATACCAGCCAGAATGTGCTCTTGTACCAGTGGCTGAATAATGAGTTTAGGAATCTTCATCAGTTACCAGTAAAAGAAATAAAACATATGGAGGCCTGGACTTTTGGATCTGATATATATTTAATTGTTGCAAAAGGTATTTAACAGAAAACAGACACTGAGTTTGCTAAGTATATGCTGACTTGTTTGGTAGCAAAGGCATTTGGAGTTTAGATAGAAATTAAAATATTACTGAAGGGTGACAATTTGCTGAAAAGCTTCTTATCAAAGTAATCTGTGTTTTGTCCTTCAGAAAACGAAAGCATTGTGTTTGTTCTCAAATACTTATGAAACTAATGAAATATTTTCCCAAGAACAATAGAAAATAATAACTCCATTCATCTTGCTACTCATTGAAGCCTTTCTAAGCTTTTCTGAGCTTTCTTATACGCAAAGATCATTCTTCAGCAAAGTTCATTTTTATTACAAGTATAACACTTTAAACGTTGCTTTATGTCTGCATCCCTATGACTATTTTGAAGTGTATATTGCAGTCCATAGATTTCTTTGCACTTGACTGTTGTATGCTGGGGTTTTTAGTGTTCTCCTATGTGAATGTGTGCAGAAAAGCCCTTAAATGAAGACATGGAATAAATCATCTAATGTGATATCATGCTATGAAGTTATGCAAGTAAAAAGGAAGATACAATCACCAGCCACTTAGAATTAAAGCTGCCAGTCTCTGCCTTTGACTGGCCACCAGTGTGTGACTTAATTAACAGGTAGCAATATAATGTAGGGTTTGTCATTTTTCTCCTTTGTAGAAACTGGAAATTCTGAAATTCTCATCTGGGAGACAGGACAGTCTACCTTCAGACACTTTCAGTCTCTTCCAGTCTCTGCTGTAAGAAATATCCATGTTTTCATGCCTCCTTCAGGTTTAGGTAAGATTTTATTTATAGTACTGGAATTGAAGAAACATATGCATTCAATTTTCATATTATTTCTCAGATTTTAAGAGATACTTTAACAATTGTGCTTCCAAGGACATTTCTGGTATTACAAGAACTTTTAAGTGTATCACTGAGAATTTCTTTTTTTTCTCTTCCTTTCTCAATTTAGTTCACATCCTCATCTCTGGTAAGGACACAACAACACTGTATTCCTGGAACTCAGAAGGGAACCAGTTCTCTCTGACACTGGAAGCTCCCTATGCAGATCATATCACTTCCACTACTGCAAGGTCTCTGAACTCCAGCAAGAGCTTGATTGCTCTTTCTATAGACTCCATCTCCCAGATTTATGAGCTGACAACTATCTCCAACCAGTCAGACTTTATACCTAGGTAGGTTTTTTGGTTTATCTGCTAGATCTTTCATTCCTTTTTCTGTGATAATCTTTTTATTACAGTGGAGAACATTATAGATACCTCTGTGTGTTGTGTTTATTAACACTAGGGAGAATTTTTCACTGGTAGCCTTAGGATAAGCTGAAGTCAAACTTCCCACAATTTGCTTTAAAGAATGGAATAAAAGGACTTGCAGTTAAACTTGATATTAAAGGTTTCATTTAAGATAAATTAAATTACATTACATTAAAAAGAAATATCAGTTACTATATGTTCTATTGTAATTAAGAAAAAAAACCAAAACAAACTCTAGTCCCACAACCTTTAAACCTCAGTGACTTACTCAGGAATATCACCAACAATTTCAGCATCAAAAATGCTCTTTAAATTTTCAGTAGTGCTTTTGAAGTTTGTTATCCATATCCTCAGTTTATAATTACTTGATGTGTTTGTTTGTATGCTAGTTCAGGTGAATTGATATTTGAGCCTGGGGACATGGAAGCTGTGATAGCAGTCAATATCCTGGATGACAGCATCCCAGAGGAGGAAGAATGTTTTAAAGTGTGGCTGAAAAACCCTAAAGGAGGTGCAGAGATTGGTGTTCACAGTTTCGTTAACATAATTATTCCTCCTAATGACAATGCCTATGGAGTCATTGCATTTGCTCAGGTAAAACTTTAAAGGTAAATTATTAAAATATGTATATATGATTTCTGAATAACAGAAAGGAAACATACTAGAATTGCATGTGATGCGATTATTTTTCTAAAGTCTTATAGTAACCTGAGACAGAAGGTTTAGCATTGATACTTGGTTATATAGGCAACAGAAACTCAGATCCAGTCTGTCCCTATTGTGGAGTTTTTATAATCCCCTTACATTTAGAATAGCCCATTATTTTATCAGTTTCATTTTGCAGCAACCTAAAAAATTAGTTTTCAGATGGCATATATGATATCATCATAGTCCCTACTAATTGGTTAATCAAGGGAATTAAGTAAAGATTCTTATCCTCTGAAATAGTTAGGCCACAGGATGAGCCCATCTGCCTGAACAAAATAAAAACTAGAGAAAATGTCAGACTGAAGGTATTATTTGGAGTTGTGATTCTTAAATCATCAAATATTGTAGAAGTTACGTAAACAGATATATGAACTAAATGCCTAATAAATATATAAATCACTGAAGAAGAATCATTGAAAGGAAACATTGGATCTAGACTTGTGTGAGGAGGAGGAATTATAGTAAAGTAACAGCAGTAAATGTATGTCTGTCTTGAAAAGTCTACATGTTTGTTATCTGCTTCATATGATTAGGACATAAAATACTGTGCTAAAAAAAACCCAAAAAACTAACAAAAACCATTCAATTTTTGCCTAGGATGAAGAGGTGTGACATATCAAATTCTTACATTTATGAAATTTGGGCCTGTTGAATATTAAGATATATAAAATGTAATCAATAGACTTGCATTTAGCTGCTGATGAGTAGATTAATTTATTCATGCCCAATGTCTCTGGCCTTCTTTAAATACTCTGTTCCCTAAAGAAACTTTTCTTTCTAAGAAATTAATGCTTTGGTTCTGCTGTTGTATATCTTTCAGAGTTCTTTATTTAAGCAAATTGAAGAAATGGAACAGGACAGCTTGATCACCCTGAATATTGAACGTTTAATAGGAACATATGGACGAGTTACAGTAGAGTGGATTGCTAATGGGAGCATAAGTGATGTGTTTCCAGCTTCAGGAATGGTATTTAATAATATCACTGCTATTGGGGAAGCACTGACTATATTGTCTCAGACAATAGATTAAGATGTACTGAGTGAGAAGGACAGTGCATGTTAGATTGTCCCACTTTTCTCTTAATCCCTGCTTCCGGTCCTTTCCTGTGATTCTAGAGGTTTGTGCTTCTGTCTGGCACATAATACAGTGATATCACTTTAGCACTTCTAGAACCTGATATTGCAGTGCTGTCCAGGCACTGGAAATGTGTATCTGTAGTATCCTATTCCCATCTTTCTTTCTTCCTGCTGTGACACTCAGCTACTGTGTCAAACCATTTGCATAGGTAGGAATTTGTGAGTGTTTGCTTTTTGTCCTGACATTCTCAATACAATGGAGAATTTAAGTGGCCCAGCAGAATATGACAAGTCCCAGTTTTCTATGTTTCTGAGACTTTGAGATTCCCAGCCATGTTAAGACCCAGTTTTTCCTGTGGTCAAAGCTCCTTATATGTCTTAGGACTGGCAGGAGCCAATTTCTGTAAATCAAAGTCCTCCACCTTGTGGCTGTCTATAGCAGAAACAAAGCCAAAAAAAAATTAAGAGAAAAATAAATTTATTTGAAATCCAGGCTGCCAAAACAATCATACTGAAATTTTTAAAGTACTCCTTGAGCATTCCAGCTACATACCACACAAAGAGTCAGAAAAGTATAATGTTAAATGTAAATTTCTATTTGTCCTACACGTTATGTGTAGCCTAAATGTTTATAGATACATCTTCCTTGTTGAAAAAGACCTAATCAAATGGAGGGCCCTTTATTAAATAAATAAATTATTATTAAATAAATCCTGGAGTGATTTTATGATACTTCTCATTGAATTTAATTTGAATTTGAATTTAAAAAAAAAAAATATAGATAGACAAAGTGTGTATCAATCATTTTACCTGAAGAAGAAGAAGAAAAGAAAGTTGAGTAGCCATTTCTTCACATAGCAACGATTTTAATAGGTATTACACGTTCATCCTTCTTTTGATATGGATATATTTGGTGTGTTGACCTTAGCTGTCTAAAAACCACCAACTAGTTCTCTCTTTCTCCCCCATCTCAGCAGGTTGAGGAGAAAATAAGGTGAAAAATCTTGAGATAAAGGCTGTGTAATAAGAAAAGAAAAAGCCATTGTCTACCTGGATTTTTCCAATGTTTTTGGTGCAGCTTGAAATAGCCTTCTTCTAAATAAACGAATATGTTATTGCTTCCCCCAAGGGAGTGGTGGTAAATAGGTCCTTTTCAAATTGACTATCTGTCACAAGTGTGGTCTCTCAGGGATCAATATTGGGCCCAATAGCGTTTAATATCTTCATAACTGATGTGGGTGATGAGATCAGGTGTACTCTGATGAAATTTGATGATGATACCAAACTTAGTGAGGAAGTGGAGACTTTGGAGAGCCACCCAGTAGGAAAACCTGGGTAGGCTGGAAGATTTATCAGTAACAAGTGTTGCACTGTGAAAAACATAATCCAGGAGTGCAGCACACACTGGCATCTAGCCTGACTGGGGAAAGCGACCTGGGGATCCTGCTGGTTGATAAGCTCAATATAAGAGAACACTGAAACAATCCACCAGGATGTTTCTGGGTTGCATCAACAAGGCCACTCCCAGCAGAGATAAAGCAGTCATTAGCCCACTCTACTGAGCACTTTTTGGGCTACAATTGGAAATCTGTGGTCAGTTTTGGTCCCAGTTATAGAAAATGGATATGGGCAGGCTGGTGGGGGTCCGGAGCTGGCCACATGTCGACAGACTGGTAAGCCTGTCATATGAGAAAAGGCTGAGAGAACTGTTCAATCTTGAGGGGAGAAGGTTATGGGGAGACCTTATGTTCAGACCGTGTTTCAGTATATAAAAAAGTGGCTACAAAGGAGGAGACTTACTTTTTACAAGGTGTCACATTGAAAAGACAGGGGGTAATGGATGCAAGTTACTCCTGGGGAGATTCCTATTGGACATAAGAGGAAAATTTTTCACCATGAGGAAAGTCATCCATTGGAATAACCCTCCCAGGAAAGTTGTGGGCTCCCCAAAACAGACACTTTTAAGATTGAGCTGGACAGGATGCTGGGCCATCTTGTTTAAACTGTGGTACTGGCAAGAAAGATTGGGCTAGATAATCCTTGTGTTCCCTTCCAACCTCATATTCTATAAAATATGAATGTGTGTATGTACATGGATTTTATAACTGACAGAATTTACTGAATAAAACTCTGGGTTTAACTATGCTGACGAGAAATTTGACTTTTTTCTCCCCCTCCCTCTAAAATTTTAGATTACATTTTCAGAAGGTCAGGCCCTGTCCACAATCACCCTGACAATTCTCGCAGACAGTGTTGCAGAGCTTTCAGAGACGGTGGAAATCACACTCACCCGTGTTACCACTGTGGATGTTCAAGATACCACAAAAGGAGCTGTCATTGATCCTGAAAGGGCAAGAGCTGTACTTAGCATTTTACCCAGTGACTCACCGCATGGTGTGATTGAGTGGCATATGGAGTCCCTCTTTGTTAAAACCACAGAGCCAGAAGGTAAGTCTGTTTCTTGATTCTTAGGAAAGAATGTATGGTTTTGCAAAGTCAGTATTGTTGAAGTTATAACACCGGTTACATATATATATATATATATATATGTATGTATGTATGTGTATGTATATATTCTAGATATATGTATCTCAGCAGTTTTGTATTAGTGTAGCATAAATATCCCTTAAAATATATAACTATGCTATATTTCACATTGCATACATCTCTATTTTCCAGCCATTCTTGTTTGAGAAGTTGTAAATCACTAATGCATAAAATACTTCTGTTTATATAAAAAGCAGAAGATGCCTGTTTAATGGGATTGCTATATTGTTTAAAATAATTTACATAGAAAGACTTTCCTCTTGAAGTGGCTCAAAAAGAAAAGCTTTTTGCTCAGAAGGCTAGGGGAAGGAAGGAAGCAGAGCTGAAGTGAATTCCACTTCAGGATAAAGGTGTTACTTTTCTGCTTGCACTTTCATGTTTGATTTAGTTTTCCTTCCAGGCAAAAGTTGAAAAGGAACTCCCAGGAAGTTGGCCAGAGGAGAATTGCCATCATGCTTAGGCTTCTCTCTCTCCTGGCTCAGGGAGCTAGCTGACATTCTTTGGGGCTGTTCCTGCAGCTACCTGATGGGCTGTTCATACTTGAACAACCCAATTAGAACTTTCTATTTAATATTCTGTCCATATTAGCAAATTAGATATGCAGAAATTACTTTTTGCATCAGAGAATATTATCACAGGCAAAACATTCTAACATGTTCTATTTTATGTGAATTGCTGTTGCCCATTTTTTAGCACCTAGAAGTAACGTAAAGGGATTCTGTTGATTTCTTACACATTATAAGCATATATGCTTTGAAGTTAGGATTTGAGGACGGTTCCTAGCTTCCAGTGGTTCTACAGTTTGGTTTTGTTTTTTTCCCCAATCTTTAAGTGTTGCATTTTTCATGAATTATACACAAGTGCTATCAGTGAAAGAGTATCGGGTTACAGTAACTGGTTTAAAGTACAAGCCTGTTTACATTTTATCTGTTTCTACTTCTCCAGTCCTAAATGCACCACTTTTAGCCAGCTTAGATATTTCATAATTTATTGGATAAAATTACAAATCTGCCTTCCCAAAAGGGTGCTGAGCCTGACTGATACAAGTCTATTTAACTTTTTCAATATTGAAGTTGAGGATATCTGACATTTACAGCCAAGATGACTACCCTCAATACCTCTTTCTGTCTCAGAATCAATAGTGATGGCCTAGGCATGAAAGGCCAGGCAAGCTATTGAGATGGAAATTTGGAAACATAACTGAATCAAAGTAGAAGTGTCAAAATAATAATTTGTCTATCACACATGAAACTGTATATATTTCATATCTTATTATTCTTCTAGATCCAGTTTTTTAATGCACAGTACCTCCAGATGTAGGTATTGTTTTGTGTGTTCACACCTGTTTTGTGTGCTCCTCTGCTTAAGCCTTTGAATTATCTAAGACCTGTTGTGTCACTGAGCAGAACTAAAGTGGACTATAGCAGTCAGTAGTTCAGGTGAGCTGAAAATCAAGCAGTCCAAGGGTTAAAACAGGGCTTCCATAGGGCTCCATCCTAGTTTCAGTTCTCTTCAACATCTTCATGAGAGACTTGGATGCAGGACTCTTAGGAATACCAAGTTTGCTGACAACGTTGAACTGGGAAGAGTTCTTGACTCCCTTGTGGGCAGAGAGGCCCTGAAGAGAGACCTCAACAAATTAGAGACACCTTGACAAATTACAGCACTGAGCAATCCCCAACCATATGAGGTTCAGCAAGGGAAAGTGCCAGATTCTGCACCTGGGATGGGGCAACCCTGCATGTATGGACAGTCTGGGGAATGAGATGCGAGTGAGAGGGGCAGTTTTGGGTGCCATAGCATTAGAAAGACATTAAGCTATTAGACAGCATGCAGAGGAGGGCCATGAGGATGGTGAAGGCCATGAGGAGAAGCCATGTGAGGAGTGGCTGAGGTCACTTGGTCTGTTCAGCTTGGACAGGATGAGACTGAGGGGACACCTCATTGCTGTTACAACTTCCTCATGGGGGGAAGAGGAGGGGTGGGCACTGATGGCTGTGCTCTCTGGTGCCCAGTGACAGGACTTGGGTGAATTGCATGAAGCTGAGTTCAGGCAGATTTAGGTTGGATATCAGTAAAATGTTTTTTACCCAGTGCATGGCTGAGCACCAGAACAGGGTCCTCAGGGAAAGTTGTCACATCACCAAGCCTGACAGAGTTCAAGAAGTGCTTGAACAGTTCTCTCAGGCCCATGGTGTGATTCTTGGAGTGTCCTGTGCAGGGCCAGGTGTTGGCTTGATGATCCTGATGGGTTTCTTCCAACTCAGCATATTCTATGGCTATAAAAGAATCATATCTTGAATTTTTTTTCCTCTCCTTACTATAGGGCAGGAGAATTCAACTACTGTTACTCTACTAATTGTTCGAGAGCAAGGATTTGTCGGAGATCTTTCCATTCAGTTGAGCACTGCACCAAACTTTGAACTCCCCCCCTCCAACCGAGCAACAGAAAATGAGGATTATATACTGGAAAAGAAAACAGTCATTATGGCAGAGAATGCAACAACAACCTCTGTCATAGTCACTATTTTGCCTGTGAGTAGTCTAACAACTTCTTTAGCTATTAATATCTTCTAAGGAAATGGAAATGGTACTGATTTTATAGTAGTAGTATGACTTAACATTCTAGAAATGTCTGTGCTGGGACTCTTGCGGCCACCTCTTTCAAAAAAACTTTCATACGACTGGGAATGAGACAATTTCTTTGTTTTATTATAGTCTCAAAGTTTACTGATAATAATGAAAAATGAAAAAAAGATTATATATATTCTTTAAATATATTTAGAATGGAGATACTGATTTTCAAATCATGGGTTGGTTTCTGAGATCTAGCTAACTTTCTTTTAGATAGCATAACAGGTGACAGCCAACACTGCTTTCCACTGTTCTTGCAGATCTGGAATCAGATTTGTCAGCTTTGATTTTAAAATCTCAGCAAAAGTAGTATTTTTCCTCCTTCATATAGTATGAAGGAAGGGATTTGTTGTATGGTCCCAAATGCTGAGAAGTTTTGAACAGTGAACAACCTACAAGTAGTCAACTATATTATAAACTTGTATCAAGAAAAAAAACAAAACCAAAAAAAATCCCTTTTTTTTCAGGACAATATTCCAGAATTACAGGAGGGATTTATAATCAATATTACTGATGTGCAGCTGATCACTTTTTCCTCTGGAGGCCAGCCAAGTGTGAAGAGACTTGGATTAGAAATAGCTGAAATAACAATTGAAGAAAATGATGATGCCAGAGGAATATTTAACTTTAATGTTACAAAGGTAAATAAGTCTGAATTAAAAACATGTAAAGTGGCATTTGAGCAAGACAGTCTGATTTCTCAGATGGCTTCTGAAAGTGTTTGATAGGCTTTATGATACTAAATTGTTCTGGGTAAAATGGCCAGATACCAGACAAACAATTCTTTCTTAAGATGTTTATCACAAATAATATACAATATTTATTATGAATCTGGCAGTGCTGAAACTATTGTCATAAAAAGTGATCTCAGGAAGTCATCTAATACAAATTTTTGCTCAGAACAATGTCAATGCTAAGGCCAGATCATTTTAAGTAGTTATGTATTTACCATTTTAAGTAGTTATGTATTTTTTCATTTATTTTTAACTGCAAGTCAACTTGAAAAAAAACCAAAGAAAAAGAAAAAGTTTGTTGAGACACTCTGCAGTTTCATTTTCAATGTACAGGATATCACTGGAGCTGTTGTTGGTTATGAGGTACCACCACCACAGAATATACTGAAACTCCCAGTTGTTCGACAGGCTGGGAGGTTTGGATCAGCAACTCTCTACTGGGAAGCCATTCATTCAACTGCCAGCTTTGAAGACTTCACACCATCATTTGGAAACCTTACATTTGCAGATGGGCAGGTATTCACTTCCTGAAAGTTTACCTGGCTGGGTTACCAGCTTAATATTTTTTTGTGTGTTTTCCTCTAGCAGAATTTTCACTGAAATCCTATTATTTATGGCCTTATGTACATTAATGATGCTCCCAGCTTCAGTTCGTTAACATGGAAAACCAGAATATTTACAAGCATTGACCAAATAGGCTTGTGTGTCTTTGAGACTTCGGCAAGTCAGGACATAACTTCTAATAATAAACCCTTTTACACTGAAAATTTGTAGCAAAATCCATCTACACTAAAAATTCTCAGAATAAGCCTTCTTAGCTTTGTTCTACACATAATTTTAAATTTCATGCTACACCTGAGACTACTTAGTGTACACAAGGGATTTTGATTTTAAATGAATATAAGCATTCCCTTTGGCAAAGGGAAGGATATATATATAGTGTGCAGAATTTTGACTGAATATTGACAATATTATCAACATACACTTTCTACTGATTACCAAAGCAGAACAGTCTTCTGGTTTTAAAAAATTAGATTTAAATTGACTGACTTAAAAACCACTACTGAAATTGTATCTTCTTATTATAAATATACAAGCATAAAAAGGAAAATGAACAATTGAGCAATGTCTATTTATCTATTACTAGATAAAATTTGCCTATTTGAATTTTTTTCAAGCAATTCACATAATACTATAAATGAAACTTTTTTGTTTGTTTGTTTGTTTTTTTTCTTTTTAACATTCCTACAGGCTACAGGAGAAATAGAAATTACAATAATAGATGACAGTGAAGTTGAATTCCTTGAGATATTCAAAATTGCCCTGGTGAGAGTAACAGGTGGTGCAAGACTTGGGAATGACACCCTGGTAACTGTTGCTATTCCACCAAATGATTCCCCTGTTGGGGTATTCAGTTTTGAGCAAAATAATGTGAGTTTTAATTAAGTTGCATTAATTTCTGCTAAAGTTGAAGAGTGGGTTTATGTCACTAACATATAGCTGATTTTTATAAGACTTCACTGCAGTGGGGGACCTAATTTCATTGAAATGATATTAGTGCCTATCTTCATCTAGCAGTGTAGGATGGTAGTAACAGTGAAAGTGCTGCTGCATAAACATAGATTTCTGCATGACTGAATCAATTTAATTCCCTATACTAACAATTCAGGACATCCTAGGTAGGATTTTTATGGTCTGTATAATAATCTGCATTACTGAAAGTAAAATGAATAAAGAAATTATAAAGAATATTTCATATTAGTTCTTTCAGTGCTTATGCTTTCCATTTTGCTGGTGCTGAGCCTGCTGGTCACATTGTAATTGTTTTGAATCAGAGAGCATACAGAAATTACTTGAGTGACTAATCTTTGCTAGCAGAAATCAACTCACTCCTTACACCTGTTATTTTCTCTTCTGTTGTTCAGAATTGTCATTGATGATGTTTTCTGTTGCTTACCTAAAACACATATTCATGTCATTTGACATCCTCAATGCAGCTTCTGACTTTTTTAATACATCCTTTCTCACATCTTCCTTCTATTTCTCCATCAGGTAACTGTGAAGGAACCTCAGACATCTGGTGACTCTGCTGCTGTTGTTTTGCTGAATGTAAGCCGAAGTCAGGGAGGAAAAGGAGAAGTTACAGTGTTATGGATTCTTGAGGAAGCAGCCAGATATGATCTGAGCCCTCTAAATGGTACCCTTCATTTCAGTGAGGTATTTCAGACATTACAATAACTTATTTACTATTAGATTTATAAATTCTCCTATTTGTGTGTATTTGTATGGTTGTTACGTGTTTTTAGAAGTAGGGAGTTACTAAGTATTATACACTAGACAAAGGTCTGTTTGAACTGGTGAGATTAGCAGTATTCAGGCTTCTTTCAAGCTGTAAAGGAAAGCTGACAAGCTCTTTTAATGCAGCATAATGTAATTATCAGAAAGGTAGCTCTTCAAATCTCTACTGTTTTTTGCAATTTAGAAAAAGGAATTGAAATCTAATGAATGTAAATAATGACTACAGAAACACTTATTCCACTACAATATCAGGCATCCTAAAATTTATATTGAAAGGGTGAGGAAGAAAAATGGATGCTCAAAATCTACAGATTAAAAGAAAAACCAAAAAGCACCATAATAACTTTCAAACTAAACAGTGTTATTTAATTTGTATTTCATGGCAGGTAAAAACTCTGAAGTCAGAATCAAAATATTGGACACTGATACTATGTTAATATTGATATTTTACAGTCTCAAAATACTTGATGAAGAAAAGTATTTTAACGGAGCATAATCTATTTTGTCTTGGTACAAGCTTGTTTTTCATTAAATAAATAGACATATTGATTGTTTTACTTTGAGTCAGATGGAAAACATTTTTCTGGTAAAACCATGAGTATTTGGCAAAGTTTTGCTATCCTTTCTCTACTGGTAGGCTTTAACATTTTGTCTTGAACTTTTATGTATGCTTACATATAAGCATATAAGCACATATACTCTGTATGCAAGGTATACTAAATTTATGCCATGTGCATACTAGTGTGTGTACACTATACGCACACACATATATATATGTATATATGCATACATGCACACATATATGTGTATAAATACACATATAGTATATATTATATATACTATACATAATATGTAATATGCATGTTTAATATATTTATGTGTGTGTGTGTGTGTGCATACATGTGCATACTACTTTTTACCATGTGTATACATGTGTCACTTCCCACTGACAGAGATATGGATTAGGTGGAAAAATTCTACTAATATATCTAATCTTAATAATGTGTTAATTCTTAGAATATGTGCATACTGTTGAATATGCAGTTTCTGTATAAAAATTTCCTCTAAGTTGAAAACATCTATGTGAATACAATTTCAAAGGAATTTCAATCTTTATTTAGATAAAAATAGCAAGGGTATTTTTAGGGTGGCACAGAATGTTTGAGAGACAATTTTACTGCTTTTTAATCTGTGGGAAGAAATTTCAGCCAGATCAGATATCTGATATTTAAAAAATACTACAGAATATGTCAAGCATTCCTAACACTTGACATATTTTTAAAAATTGGTTTTAATACTGTATTTTGTTGAATTTCATTTAATGTATATCCATGTCTTTCTGGTCTTTACATGATGCAGACTGAGTCCCAGAAGCTGATTATTTTACATGCAATACAAGATGGTCTGCTGGAGGGGAATGAAACATTTACCATTCAGCTAGTCTCTACTGGTGATGCAGAGATATCCCCTGTAAATGGTAAAGACTTAATTCAGTATCTTCTAGTTTTAGATATACTATATGAGAATATTCTAAGTCTGTTCATACTGTTTTAGTCTGCAGTGCTTAAGTATTTTGTGTGGTGCTAGTTGGTTGCAGTTTTGAATGTCAGTCTTTTTCCCTAAGTCCCTTAAGAAGAAATCAGAGAGTTCCACAGGCCCTCTATGAAGCTGATGCTTAACCACTCATGTCGTGAAACTTTCCAAGGGTAGCTCATTGTTTAGTTTTCACTTACCATGAGAAGCATTGTTCTCTTCATAGGTGTTGCAACCATCATTATTTTGGGAGATGAAGGAGCTTCTGGGGTGGTTGGGATAGCCCATTCATCCCAGCACATTTTGATTGGAGAACCTTCTGGAAATTATAATGGAACCGCTCTTATTAGGTGGGTACGTCTCTCATTTTTTCAAAGAAGGAACAACAGCCCAGATTCAAAACCCGTGAGACTCCACATTTGGCAAGAATTAATTAAGAACTTAATTTTATCATAATTTCTATAATCAGAGCTATTTTAAAAACTAGGTGATTGGTTTTAAGGAAAGGTATATGTATGTCCTTTCAGTATTAATGGGGATATCCAAATATTCCTCTGTCTTCAAGTTATTTACAATGTCAATGCACCAAGGGAAAAAGGATTCTAATCAAAGGAAGGGGTAAGGAAATGTGACATTTGAAGGTGCTTTGTGCTTTCTAGAATTTGATTCAGGATTTGTGCCTGAATAGTATTTCAGCAAATTGCTGTGTTCTAGCATGAACAATGTGGGGAATGGGGTTTTTGGTGGAAACAAGATGAAATTGTTTCATTCAGCCAACTGAAAAGAGAATGAAGAGTTTGAATGAGAGAAGAATCTTCTAAGAGCATTGGAAAAAGCTATTATGACACTTCCAGGAAATATAAAGCTACAGAACAGTTTCTGCTACTGGCCCAAGAAGCCCAAAAGACAGAACGATGCTTTGTGCAAGAAGCAGTTCAAGGTCATGCTATGTGCAGAATGTGCAGACAAATCTGTACTGTGACTTATTTCACCAAGCATTATGTTATTAGTAGGGTTTTAGACAAGTAGGAGACAGTACGTATCTCAGAAAATCACAAGGTATTCTGGCGTCCTACATCTGCCTTATAGATCAAATTGCTCCTGCCATTACCCTGACATCCAATTTCCCTTCTATTTTGCTTCTATATCTGGAAAAAAATAAAGATATCAGTTTTCTGGAATCTCTTCTGGAAACAGAAGAGAAATCAGTTTTCAGATCCCAGCTTTGGGCTGCACATGGAAAGAAACTTGAAAGACCTCCTGATAAAAATACAGCTTGATGTGTCTCCCATCACAGAGAAACAAAGGGGAATTTCAGAGTTGTTCTGAAAATGCCTGTAAAGGGAATTATCATGTTCTTAATAGTGATTAAGTACATTAAAACTCAAGCTTTCATAGTGTTGATAACATTTCCTCCATGCACAACAGTAAGATGTTGTATCTCTGTATTAGATATTAAATACTAAAGGTAAAAATAAAATCTGTGTTTGTGTCCTTACCTGCAGCCTGGTACGTGGCCCAGGGATTTTTGGGGAGATCATAATATATTGGAATATAACACCTCCTCATCAGACAGAATTTATTGAGGTATCGGGGACCTTGACCATGCGAGATAGGCAGTCTGCAGCAGTTGTTCTAATACAGGTATATGAGAGATCTGATACCAGTAGCTATTTCAAATAGCTTTCTTTTATTTTCTTAGGATCTTGGTTAGAAATTAGTTAAATCTCCTTCCCAGGGAATGGTTTAAAGCCTTTTAGCTGTTGGTTCTTTTCTGTAGGCTGTAGATGACGACTGTCCTGAGGAGAAGCATTACTACCAGTTTCAGCTAACCAGAGTCAGTGGTGGAGGACTCATAAATGAATCTAGCAGCACAGCAAATATTACCATGGCCGCCAGTGATTATCCATATGGAGAGTTTACATTTTCCCATGAACTATTGCAAACAACAGAAGACGAAAAATGGGTATTGGATTAAAATTCTTTCTTACATAAAATTACTGATAGATATCAACATGGTTGCTAGAATTATGTTCAGCTTTAGAAAGAAAATAAATTAATCTCTAAAATGACTGAGCCTATTTGCTAAATAATGTGTACTCTGTACTTGATAAATCATATTGTTGTTAGCCAACAGAACCATTGAAAAGGTGCCTTTAGAACATCTCCTGAAGGCAACTGTAACAGAAAACAAAGCCATTTTTAAAAGAAAATGTTCTCTTTTCCTCAGGTTAACATCACTGTTGTGCGTTCCAGGGGATCCTATGGCAGAGTGCGTCTTTGCTTTCAGATAATAAATGGGACTGCAGAGGAAGGAATTGATTTTAGTCCCACAGTAAGGGAAATAGTTTTTGAACCAGGGGAGAAAAGTAAAATTATTTTGATTGAAATTCATGATGATGACTTTCCTGAAGGCCCTGAAAACTTTTCATTGATGATTACTGAAGTGGAACTCGAAGGAAGGTAAAGTTAGAATTCCTAGTTGATTTGTTACAAGCAGAAAAGCATACTAAAGAAACAAACTTTGGATTCTGATCTACCTGAATAAAGTCAGTGCTAGACATTTCTTCTGTTTTACTGTAAAAAAATTTTAACACAGCTATAATTGTATTCATAATAAAAAATGAATGTATGGTAAACCAAATTATTTTAACATAAAGATGTTGCTGGTTAAGATTTATTAAAGCTTTAAATGCATACATTAGATAGAAATTGTCAAGTTGCAAGAAATTCAATAAAAAGATGAACTGAGAAAGAACAATTTCTTGAGAAAGAACAATACACATTTCTAGGAATAAACTACTTTTCTTGCAAACATTATAATATGAAAAAATGTGACAAAAAGTCTTCAGTAGCAACTGTCAGAAAATAAAGTTATTTGCAACAGACAAATTGTCACACACACATCTTTATACTTTCACAAGTAGTTTAAAATGTATTTTTATGTTTGTTTGGTTTTTTATGTTCTTGCAAGGGGATTTGATTTTACTGTAAGAGAGAATGGTCTACAAGTGGATCAACCACCAATAATAGGAAATATCTCCACAGTATGGGTCACTATTGCAAAAAGTGACAATGCTGAAGGTGTCATAGAATTTGATCCACAGTATGTCCTTCTACAGGGTAAGTTTACCTTAAGTTCTCACTATAGTTTAGAAGATAAGGCTACGGCATGAATTTTGAAATAACATAACTTTTCTCAATTATTTTTATAGTGGAAGAGGATGTTGGATTAATCATGATTCCTGTTTTGAGAAAGCACGGAACTTACGGCAATGTCACAGCTGATTTTCTATCTCGAAGTATTTCTGCACTTCCTGATGGTGTTGACTATGTCGTTCATAATAATACTGTAATTTTTTATCATGGACAGAACCAGTCTTTTATTTATGTCTCTATTATAAATGATGAAGAAAGGTAATTCAGTTTTCAGATATTTATTCACCAATTTACTTCTGATAAAGTCTTTTTTAGCATGCACTAAAAAATCTACACATACGTATGTATAGAGCTGGAGTTGAAGAACAAATTTCTGCGGAGCTAAAAAGTCACATAAGGGAGAAAATCACCTAAGGAGTGGAAAAAGAAGCTGTTGTATTAGAGTCATTATTCCTGTTAAATAGTATGCAATCAAATACAGTTTTGAATTACATTATAAGAAATGTTGGTGTCAACAGTACTACTATGAAGAATAAAATATTTTTCCATGTTTTTGTTTAACTTAACACTAGTATAAAATAGAATAATGATAGAATTTCAGAATGGTGATATCTGATATATTTTTATTTCAGATATCACCATTCTATTCAAATAGAAGGAATCTTCTACATTGCACCTATGGAGATGATTTGTTTACTCCTTTAAACAGATTAGGTTGGATGCATGATTGAATTACTAAGTACAGTTTTAATATTTTCTTTTTTCTCTCAGATATCTCAGAATGTCTTTTTCTTTTTCTGTGCAGTGAATTTGAAGAGCAATTTGAAATCCAACTGACAGGAGCCACTGGTGGAGCAGTGCTGGGGCTCCACCTGGTAAGCCAGGTCACCATTGCAAAAAGTGACTCTCCCCAGGGCATGGTCCGATTTCTCAACCAAAGCCAAATTATTCTCCCCAACCCTGATGCAACCACAACAGTGTCACTGGTGCTGGAAAGGACTGGGCGACTGGTGGAGGCACAGGTGGGTCTTGCCTGTCAAAGACTGAAAGTTTTCCAATGACTATGTCAAAAAGCTCCTGCATTTTGCTTTAAGAGCTCTCTTAGTGACTGATTTTTAATAGGATGATTACAGATTTTTATTAAATATTAATTGCATGTAGCTGCAGTATAACAGAAAATGTTATATCCTTTTAAAATCCTCTTTCTCTTCCTGCTTGCCTTCTTTTATTATGGTGTTGTGTACATCATTTTGAACTATCTCCTAATCCCCCAAAATTATAGTTAACTTCATGTATTACTACTAGTTTCATTTAATTCAGGAAATTGCTTACTATGAGTTTTCTATAGTATTTTTTTACTCTATACAGTAATAATTTTTAATAAATTTTTAACTCTATACAGTCTTCACTTTTAAAGTGAAGGTATATGTGGGCCTTTCACAGTCTTGTCAAATAAGTGGAAAATCTCCATTAAAACCATGAACTCCTCTTCTCTATATACAAAAATTTCCTCAGTCTTTGACTTTTTCTAGGAGTTGTTGGAGAAAAGTGGAAAACACTTAAGTTACCAAAATAATAATTGTCAAGTCCTAAATATGACCTCCTTAAAAGCAGTCTAATTTGTGGGAATTGCTGGAAATGCTATAGCTTTTAATTAGGCTGAAGAAATATGAAGGCTTCATAATTTTTTTCATAATCTGAAGGATTAAAAATTTTTACAATAAAAAATATTTGTCATTTTTAGACTTGACGTCTCACTTCAAAGAGAAATGGTTTTTATCATGAGTACTTATGTGGGAAGTTTTGCAAAACAAGTGATGAAAGAGAAGAGAAATAGACACTGGCCTGTGTGATTCTTGCTATGTACTAAATAAATCTTAGTTTCTTTTCTATTGCTGACATCTAGAATTTAATAAACTGGCATGGTGACTAACACTTAAAAATTCCCATTTATAAATGGTCGAGTTTACTCTTTCAAAGGCTTCTATATTTTGCCCTGTAGAATTAATTATGACTGTGTTGTATCCTGTATTAACAGTAAATATTTAAACATAGCTAAGTACTTCAGGTATTCTGTCTCTTCTCCCCTTGGGATGCTGTTTTATCACCCCTCTAAATCTGAAACTTATCTCTTCCACAGATTAACTGGGACATTTTGGGACCCAATTCAGAAGAGATTTTATCTCCTCTGAATAGTGACATTGGTGACCCTGTGAATGGATCATTCTATTTTGAAGAAGGAGAAGGAGGTCTAAGAACAATTAATCTACAAATCTATCCTCATGAAGATGTTGAAGTTCAGGAAATCTTCATTATTCGACTGAGTCTTGTGAAAGGTGAAACAGAAATAGATCCGAAGGCAAACACCATTACATTAATAGTAAGTTACTATTGCTTCTCTTTCTTCAGAGATTTCTGTTGATATTGGTTTTTGTCCTGCAACGATTTTAAAAATTAATTACAATGATTACTAAGTCATTTGGCTTTTTTGACCTTCTTAGTGCTTTGGTATATTATGTTCAGTTCTGAAAGAGAAAGGGCAGAAAATCTGTCAGTAAAAATTGGTATAAAAGTGCTGAGCTGACTCTCTTATTTGCAGCTTTCTGGAGTTCTCTTTGGAGAGAGCATTGGTTGAATTCACATTTCTATATGTCAATACGTTTGTCATCTGTTGTGGTTTAAACCCACCTGGAAATTAAGCCCCACTCAACTGCTTCCCTTCCCCTACCTCCTCTTGTGAGAGGGAGACAAAAAGCAGGATTTCTGAGTCAAGAAAAATTTACTTGAAAACATCAATGAGATGAGAAACAAACAGTAACAGCAACAATATTAATGACAAAGGTAGACAATATGAAGGGTGATTTACACACAAAAAGGTGCTCACCACCAAAGCTCCACTGATACAAAGACAAAATGTCTTTTTTCCCCTGAGCAAACTAAAAACGATGATGGACAAATCATCCACATACACTCTCCTCCACAAAGCCTGAGACAGCAAAAACAGTGATGGACAAACTCTCCAGGCTGGACTGCTTGGCCTGCATCAACTATCATGTGTGTGTGGTAGATAATAGAGATCTGGACATGCCCACACAGCACCAGGCTCTGACCCCTCAGCAGTTGCAAGTAGGATATTGTCACTCTTAACATCTTCTGCAGAGGAAGGGAGAAAATCTGACTTCTCACAGTGCAAGAGAAATGCAGAGAGTTATCAAAGACAAATCAGTGCTGTAGGGATACAGTAACTAAGGACATATTTATAAAGCTGCTATAAGAAACCCTCAAAACAAATCTCTCCTAGAAATTGTATTTTTATTTTATTATGGGGTCCATAAGGTGTTGATGGAATTAGCTCTTATTTCCACAGTCCCACTCAGGAAGTCAGGTTATTGTGGACCTGATTTTTCTGAGTCTGAGAGAGTTCCAGCCTGTCAGTGGGGCTGATCTGTTCCCAAGGGAAAGTCTCTTGAGGGCATCTCTCTCGCTCAAGGACTATTTTTGTAAATAATTTCATTTTTTCAAAACAGTTCTGTACAGCTGTGATTGGTGTGTTTTTCTCTTGTCCCACCAATGGGACAGAGAGGCGGTGTTCCCTTTACCAGTCATGTTAAACCTGTATCGTAACACCCTATAAAAAGCTGAAAAGTTCAGATAATAAAGTTTTCTGATCATCTCGCTCTGGCTGCTGTGATTGAATTCACACTTCCACTTTGTGTCCAACGGTGACAGGTTACCCCAAATTCTTCATGTAGTGAATGGTTCACGCAGATGGATGTGGATGAGCTCTCTTTCCCATAGTGCTGAGTTTGCAAAATGATAGTTTTAGAAGAGATTCTGTATACTAGCTCATGGTGCCTCAGCATTTCCTGCATAAAAATCAAAATATTCAGATGCAGCATATGTAATAAAACTCTGTTCTTTTCCTTCTTAGACAGGGGAACTGGAAACTGAAAAAGGGACATTTTAACCTTTTTCTGCTGTTTTTAAAGCTAACAGATAAGTGCCCCTGTAACATCCAGCAGTGAAAATCTCAGTGGTTCAAACAAGAATACAACTCACACTACATTTCTAGTTTTTTTAATGTTTGTTTACCTTTTTACAGATAGAGAAATTTGGTGACCCCAATGGAATTGTACAGTTTGCTCCCGAATCATTAATTGAGAGTAACTATTCAGAGCCCTCAGGAGAAGAAGGGCCACAAAGTATTACACTGTTTGTCAAACGAATTCAAGGCATTCTGGGGAACATAACGGTATTCTCACTCATTTCCTAATAATATTATCTGAAATCATCCTCAGTGTCAATGTATGGAAAAGTATCTCATTCTGTGCCTTTCAATTGCTTGTTTCTCAGATTAGGTTTTTTACATGTTGCCTTTTAGACTGAATTTAGAAAGGGCTTAGCCCTAGTACTTGTGGTGTGGTGAGTAAAATTCAGTCTCCCTTGGTCCAGAGGAAATAAAAGAAAAAAATATACTGCTATACTGCTCTCAGTTTCTTTCTTCCTGTTTGCTTTTGATGGGAGAACAGAAGAGACAATACTTTCATAGTGAGTTGTCTTTGATATCATTGCACTTTACTTTTTTAGACAGAACCAGACTTTCCTGAACCATCACACATATTGTTTTTTACCTTGTTTAGAAATGAGTGCTTTAACAGGAACTCGTTTAATTTAAAATAAATTGATCAATTAATAGAGACATCTGCTGTGTTTAATGAGAGTTCTCTATTCCTTTCTTTTGTGAGGAATATTGGAAACAGAAAAAAAAAAACATCCAGGGTGTTATGGTGTGAAAATAGAAATAATTTTTGAAAAATGTTCATAAATTCCACATAGTTTTCCATAAATCTCCTGAAACTAGACAAAGGAAAGATTTTTATTCATAGCACTGTTAGTGAAATAACACACTCTTTTGAAAGGTAGTCTGTGATAGAATATTCTTCCTATGCATACCCAAAACAATTTTTATTTTACCTATTTAAAAACAGTCTGTTCCGTATCCTATCTATACTGAATTCTGAATATGCAAATTTCTATCTTTGGAGGTAATTTTTCTTTTATGTTTTTCATTTTTTTATACTAATTTCAGATTTACTGGGAAATACGTAGTGAATCTGACATCACAGGTGACTTTCTTGAGACAGAGGGATCTGTTGTCATTGCTGACCAGCAGAGCACAGCTGAGATAACTATCTACCTGTTACCTGATGATGTTCCAGAACTGGATGAAAACTACGAGGTACAGCTGATTTCAGTGGAAGGTGGAGCAGATTTAGACCATGAGAAGGGAATTTCAAAGATCACAGTGTTTGCAAATGACGATCCTTATGGAGTGTTTGCCCTGTACTCTGATCATCAGTCAGTATTGGTAGAAAAAGCCCTGGATCGCTATGTTCAGATTAATGTAACTCGGCATGCTGGGGCATTTGGAGAAGTGATGGTTGAGTACCGTGTCATATCCCCTTATGATGAAGCACTAATTGAACCCGAGAATGAAGTGGGATTCCTCACAATAAAGGACGGTGCCAGCTTTGGAGTAAAAAGAGTGCCAATAAGCAACCAGGTGTGTATTACTCTTTTAGCTCCTATGGTATCAATTGTATCCGTTTGTTTCATCACAATACAAATAAGACACAAAACTCTCACTAGTATCCACTGTGAAGAAGCTTATGTATGCAAATATTTTCATAAGTTTCTTCTGGATTGTAAATGGTGATCTGTCACCTGATTCGTGACCAATGAAGAAGAAGCTAAATGTACCTGCAGTCTTCTGTGTTTCCTTGTTGTTTGTCATTATTATCACAGTCTTACTTCCCCTCTTACAACCATCTTAAATATTTTTAATCATAACAAAATAAAGCTAAGGCCCAATGTATCAGATACAGCTTTTTAAAATGGCAATTTTAAAATGTTTGCTTTACAACCTCACATTCCAGCAAACTGCTGGCAGATTATTTCACAATATTGATGGTTTAACTGTAATTCTTTGGGAAACATCAACAAAACACTTGTTTTGAAATTTCTGCTTTGTATGTAAGCAAACAAAATTTGCAGGTTGTTTTGTTAATTATTTGAACTGTTGGATAGTGTTATTTTAGTGGAATTAAATTTCTATACTTTTAATTTAATTCTCTCTCTCAAAGGCATTTATTTTACTGGGCTTGAATTTTACTCTGGAACTGACTAATGTAAGCCTGGTTAGGGGAAGTGCCAAGGAAGTGCCTAAAATATTGGGAATAGCAAAGTCTGTTGTGCTGCTTATTCCTGAGGAAGCTGCCAATTCACAGGTCAGTAGCCTGATTGGGTTGTCATGTTCCTACCACAGAAGAAAGGTACACTTCACTACAGAGGATACCTGCTATAAGAATTCAGTGAAGTTTTCATTGTAATCAATATGATTGAGGAGATTTTTCCTGTTATTACTTGCACTGTATGTTTTTCTTTCGTCTGATACAAATTCTTGTAGAAATGTTTTAATACAGTTGGAAAAGGCCTCTTCATCTATAAAATGTAAGTAATGTAAATATTTATGTGAAATGGGAGTTCTAAGACTTAAAGGAAAATAAGTAAATCTGGACAATGTTTCTGTAAGTTTTATGATTCAGTATTATGTGCAAAAAGAGACAGAATATATGTAGGTGTTAATGCAGATGTCAGTAAATCTGGTAATCATTGAGTGATGAATTTTCCTTTTGTCTATTTTGAATGAGAGTGAGAAAAGATAATTTTCCTACTTTGATAAGGTATATGTGCTACCATTCCCTTTTTTTATGTCACGCAAAGGCATGACGAGATTTTAACTCTTAAATTTGATTGAAGTTTTTGCTTAATGATTTTTATTATCTTGAAGCATTGTTTTGGTTTTTAATTTACAATGAAATTTAAGTCAAATAGTCTTTCTGTATACACTTTTTATGGGAATACTATTATATACCATATTCTACCATTTATCATTGCTTTTAGATGATGGAAATTATCTTCACCCCTATTTCCTGCTCAGAGAAAAAGAAATGTAGATCACAGTAGCAAGAATAATTTTGTGAACAGTGTCATGGGGCAACAACTTACTTTTCATTGGATACATAATTAACAACTTATCTTAGACCTAATTATATGTGTATATATATATATATATATATACATACAGAGAGAGAGAGAGAGAGAGTAGTACAGTTATTACATGTGAGGTAATAACCTGCACTGAGGGCAGGCTTGATTTATTTTTCTTCTAAACCAGAGATACAGAATAATGTAGTCACTGTTTTCAGGACTGAAATACCACTCATGCCTTTTCCCTGCAATCTAATTGCCAGAAATCTAAAATTTGCAAGTATTATTAAAGAGGTGCGAAGGAAATATATATCTGTATATACATGCACATATATTTATATGTATGGACATGTATTTATCTATATGTATGCAGTCTTAAGATGCCCATTTTACAAAAGGTACTATGCTTTCATGTATGTTATTGTCCATTTTTATTCCATTTTTTGATAAAATCTACTGTGTTTCCACAGGTTGGCTTTGAATCTGTGATATTACGACTTACAAACATTGTAGCAGGGACAGGCCATGCTGTTATAACCAGAAGAGGAGCTTATGGCTCTGTAATAGTTAGCTGGATTTCAGGATGCCCACCAGACCTAGTCACTGACTCTGTTATACTAGGCAATATTACACCTCCATTTGGTGAGTAATTAGTGCAACATATTCTGTACAGCTACAACGACAGCAGCTATCACAGTTGCATAAGCGATGACACCACCTTTTAGTTCTTTGTACCCTACATTTGTGCTCTTCAAGTTTCCTTTATTAATGAAGAGTCATTGGAATGAAATAGCCTGATCCAATTTTTATCTGTAAGGACATATTTACTTCATGAGAAAAAAAACCAGCTTTTCTTCATAGACGCAAGGCTATGCAACTGAAGGACAGCTTCCTATAGGAAAGGCCTTTATCGTGAAAATTTATTCACCTCAATGGAGTGGAATTGTGACTAAAGCACTATGCTGGTGTATTTCCAGGTAAAAAGAGAATTCACCTTTAGTAATTTTTACTTTCTCAATCATTCTCCTTTCAGGTACTGTTGTATTTTCCTCTGGGGAGAAAAGTAAAGTAATTTCATTTCAGGCTACTCCAAGCCTAAATAAACCTGAGACATTTGCCATCACTTTAACAGCAGTGCACAGCAATGTGTCTGGAGGGGCTCGCCTGAGGTAAGAATATTACACTTTTGAGTTGCACTGATGCTATAAGAATTATGACATGTATAGAGGCATATACCTCATACAAATCCCTATTAAATTATAGGTAGCTATCAAATTGTAGTTGCTTTTTTGATAAATTTCTATGTCTTGTCTCACATGTAAACAAATACCTACGGTACTACAGATATGATCTGCCTGGAACTGAGGCTTTTTTTCAATTCCAGTTTCCTGACATTGGGATCTGAGATGCCTGTAATATATCTAGACATTCAGGAAAGACAGTTAGGTTGAAGAACCAAGATCAATAGTTTTAACCAGGAGCCTGAAGAAAGAAATAAACTCTTCCAATTTTCAGTGTCCCTAAAAATCCATATTTAGAAGATCTTAACTGACAAACATTATTTAAAATCAAATTTAATTAGAAATGCTCTAAAAATGCCTAATTTATATTAAACTCTCTTTTTTTTTTGAAAAATTAAAACATTACATTCAGCATAGTTTATCATTTCAGTTAAATTGTTATCTGTTCTTCAGACTTTTCACTCTTCCTTATTGAAGATGAAAGTGTACAAAAAAATAGGCATAGATTGATACCATATGGAGAAAGGTATTGGCTTCACCATGTTAAAATTGTACTAGCAGATATGAAGGAAGTCAGGAGTGAACCAGATGCCTAAGCTGGCCCTTTCTCCTAGGCTTGTCTATCCTTGAGTGCTCAAGCATGTGTTTACTGTGTGAGTCAAATACCTTGAGTGTATGAGAATAACCTTTCCTAGAAACCTTAAGACTGCATCCCACAAGACGTAAAGCTCACAGTTACTTCTAGAGTTTTTTGGCTTCCAAAGTGGTGGAAGAGTCTCATCTGTTAGCCAAATCCTCTCACAGTAATTGTGCCATTTGATAGCCTCTGGCACTGAATAATGGTTCAGTTCTAGAGAAGGGGATGACACAAGACTTAGCAGAGACAGTCTAATATTTTGTCATAAGATGGGTATACATTTAATGTGAACAAAGTACAGCTTAAATTTATACTGATAACAAGACTCAGATGTAGAAAAAAATACTTTGAGTAATATTGTAAAAAAGCAGTATTTCAAAGCCTTATTGTGTATTTTAAAATAACTTCCTGCCCTTCTCTAGCATCCTAGCTAAAACTGTAGACTGCTAGCAGCTGTCTACTTCACAGTTTTCCCTTGGTACAGGAGGTTTGTTCAATGCTTAAAACTATTATTCCTTGCAGTGGCTATATTATACTCCTGTATTATGTCCACAGTAGGATGACCTACTTTCCTTTGCCTCTCCATTATGGTCAGTAAGACCATATTTCATGTATCATTTACTCAGTATCCTGTCTTGACTTAGGGTGCTTTAAGCCCATGGAGGGCTGCTTAATCCAAATATTACAAAAGCAACTTTAAGGGGACCTCTTTATGTCTTGCTTGGTATGGTTGTTATTTCTTCCTTCTACTGTTATGCTTTTTTTACTCCACTTTCTTGCATCCATCATTAATTGCTCACTGACAATTATTATGTTTGATTGTTCTGCTTTTCATTATTTGTATTTCCACTATTAATGTGATTTTGTTTCTGTTTCAGATCAGGATTTACGATAGCTTATATTGAGCCAATGGGGATCTTCCAGTTTGATCTTAACTCAAGATCAGTTTCAGTTGAAGAAGATGTCCAGGTAGTCAGACTACATGTTCAGAGATTGTTTGGTTTCCAAAGTAATCTCACTAAACTGACATATCAGACCATTCCAGGAAGTGCCAAACCACTAGAAGACTTTATACCCATCTACAATGGAGAGCTTATGTTTTTACATTTTCAGACAAATGCAGTGATAGAAATATCAATAATTGATGACACTGTGTCTGAAATACAAGAATTCTTTTTTGTAAATTTGACTTCTGTGGAAATTCTGGATGTTCAACCTGCAAACCTTGACTGGAGTCCCCGTTTGAATCCAGCTTTCAGTGTTGCAACAGTTAATATCCTGGCTAATGATATTCATCATGGAATACTAAGTTTGGGACCAGAGTTTGTTTACGTTGAAGAAGATACAAACAGCAATACCTCCAACAGAGCAGTGCTTCAGATCAGAAGGACCAAGGGATTTATTGGTGATATTAAAATAACTGTTAAAACTTTTGGGGGAGTGAGCGCACAGAGTGCAGTGTTTCCTTTTGAGAATGTTTATGGAAAATCAAACTTCTCATGGGCAATGGAAGGAGAAGATTTTGAAGAACAGACAATCTCTCTGATTTTGCTGGATGGAGAAAGTGAAAGCCAGGTCTCCATAAAAATTTTTGATGATGATGAGCCTGAAGGACAGGAATCATTTTATGTTTTCCTCTCAGATCCTGAGTATGGAGCTCAGATTGTGGAAGGAAGGGATGAACATGGATTTGCTGCTTTTGCAACAGTAATTATTTCAGGTAATATTTCTCACAGGGCATGGGTAAATATACTTGAATTAAATAACAGTAAACAACTATATGTTCTTATAGCAATTTTCATGTAAAATTGGAATTCTATATGATAATAAGCAGGGTATTCTATTCCCAACACGAACATTTTCCAGATGAGGGGAAGCACCTAATACATAAAGTCCACTTAGCTTCCCTTAGCAATGTAACTCAAAATACATCTATAGGTGCTGCTTATCTCTGTTCTTGTCCTTTATGAAGGGAGAACACTGAGCATAAGTGTTTGTGTTGGAGATGGAGTAGCATTGCAGGCTCATTTGTTTTTTTGCCATTTTCTTGTTCCAACAAGAACAACTTCTTCCTCCTGGGATGTGAGATTCCCATCTCAGTAGATCTGTGATTTCCAGATACAAAGAATAAGTGGGATAATTTATGATGCAGACCTATGACTGTGAGAAGAGTCACCAATTAATTTGTGGTATGAAAATTAAAGTGTCCAAGAGGAACCTGTTAGAGAAATGCTGGGCTTCCATTGTTTGTTCTTGGTATTGTACAAATGATTCTTTCTCACAGTACTGTAGTGCTGTATTCAGACCAAAATATTTTGTATAACTGTAAATACTGACCACTTCTTGACAGTTTATGGCACAAAAAGATATTTTTTTATAATAATAAGATATACTGCCTTTTTTTACGTGGTTTTTTTCTAAAGAACAAATTATTTGTATTTTGCTACTTCAGGTACTTTGCTTTCCAAATTCCAGGATGCTTTAAGATTCTTTTACTTTTTCTTTTACCTTTTTTTTTTTTCTTTCCTTTTCCTAACAGTCTATGAAACATGATTTTGTAAAAGAAAATGTCATGGAGCATTTGAATACAGGAAGACATAGCTCCTACTGAGACCATAAGATTACCTAAAAGAGGAGAGGCATAAAAATTTACTGACCCATTATTTAAATAATGCATTATGGCAGCAGTGCTTGATATGAGACAGTGAATATAAATTGAAATGAGGTTTAGCCTGAGTATTTTCTTCTATTCAGTACAGAGAGCCAATGGCACAGGTTGCCTGGGGAGGTTGCATGGTCTCTCTCCATCCCTGGAATTTTTCCAAGCCCCAAACCTCTAAGCCATCTGGTCTGGTTTCAGAAATAATTCAGCTTTAGAAGGGTTTTAGACTAGAGACTTAAAGGGCCCTTTTAACCCGAATTAAATTGGCATTCTGTCACATGTATTTCTTATACTTTGTATTTTTAAGTTCATTGACTTTTACAAAGGTACAAAGTATAAAAAACAGTTTCTGTTTTCATTCTTTGCTACTATGCAGTTCATATCTGCAGGGTAGACATTCTCTGCTTCTGGGGATGGAGGACAAGGACACCAAGGAAGAGTTTTTCTTTCAGTCATTGTGCTACTGTGAGAAAGTGATGTCAGAACTCCAGTTTCCTCTGTCTTTTAGATATCTGTCAGACTTACCAACTGAATAGATACCAGTCCAACCTGCTACATAGATTAAGTTTTAGAAAGAAGTTAGGCATTGGAACAAATTTTAGGCTAACTCAGTTTAGGCTAATCAAGAAAGCAAGGTACAACATTACTGGGAGTTTTGGGTATTTAGGTAGGCTTAAGGAATCAGTGTGGGTATTGAGAACTAGGATTAAACTGTGCTGCTGGATGAGTGTAGGAAGTCATCAAGATCATATACAAAACCAGATCATATGAAACACATTCTCTTCATGTGCATTGTCTCTAGTATTTACCACAGAAATGGTAATTTACAATGAAATTTACACAGGAACTGGTTCTAGCGAACCAGTTCCCCAGCTGTGCACGTTCACTGCAGAAGTATGTGTATAGACACAGGTTGGAATTCAAGCTTGTATTGAACACCTCAGAAGTGTGTTAATGTGCTCTAGAGTTATACCCACAGTACGAAGTGTCCATAAAGTTGGAACATGAGACAATAGATTAAGGAGAAGGGTCAAAGCATGCACCTGCATTTAAGTGTATAGATAAATACCACAGGTTAAATATTTGTTCACACAAGCACATAAGCAAAAACACAGTTTCTGTTCATCTTAATATATATATTGACTTTTAGTAAGCTGTGGAGTGGAAGTAGATTGACTTTTCAATTCCAGAGTAAAGCCATCACTACCTGCAAGGAGAAATCCTTTAGAAGCATGATTTTATTGAGCACTGTAAGACATTCGTTTCCCCTCATTAACACTGGGAATTTTTATCTTCCACTGCTGTTTTTCTGAAGATACTTGCATTCCCCTGAGAAAAATGTGGTGTCTTGCAGCTCAATAGTTCCACACATAGAATTAAAGATGCAAGAGAAAAGTCAGTGTAATAATCTGTGAAAATGGATGGGTTCAACCACATCATGGATAGGATGAATAAGAAAGCTTAAGTTATGTCACTGGAAGCCCATCTTTATCACATTACCTTCTTTATATGTTGAGGCCCATTTCTGTCCAGAGAGAATGTTTTGAGATTCATGGTAAACATAGCTGGAGGGATTGTCTCATAAAGGCATTATAGGCAAGGCTTTTGAGATTATTCTGGAGATTACTGTAACACCTAGTCTCTTGAAGTCAAGACACACAGAGTTCAGTCAGTTTGTTGAATGCTGCTGAAAATACAAGCTTACGTGCAAAAATGGTGCCAAGACTCTCATAAGGAATTTACTTTCAAAAATAGTTGTTACTACTCTATAGTTAAAAATAAAATTTAGAAATGCTGTATTCTAAATTTGAAATTCTAGAGTGTAAATTAAGAATGGAAATATTAAGAGAATTGAGCAGCATGCTTTGACATACCTGACTGCATTTTTAGCAGTTGTTCATATTAAAAATATAATTTACTCTCAGCTTAACTTTCTTGCTTAATACTTTCATGGACTATTTCCTACACAGGAAGCGATCTCCAGAATGGTATTTTGGGATTCATTCCAGAAGTACAAAGTGGCCTGATACTTGATGAAGACTCAGAAAACAGAGAGGTGCTGCTGACTGTCGCACGGCAACCAAACAGGTGCAGGCAACAGCTGATTCCAGTGCTCTTCCCATACTCTGTAATCACTCTGTAATATGTTGTCTTGAATCACTGGAGCTACTGTTAGTGGAAGAGGTTTTCATCACAGAGCTTTTTAACAAGTGTCTCATTTAATAGCTTCACAGATTTTGGCCACAGGGCATTTAAATTGTGAATATAATTAGGTCTGTCACTTTATTGATACAAAGCAGAAACAGGAAAAACTCAAATGCTTAGCATTCTGTACTGTAAGTTAGCAAGTGTGAAGGTTCTGCTTAAGGTAAAGTATTTGCACTCCTAAAGGTGTAATTCCAATTCTCACCTCTCTGTGTAATGTAAGTACCTATGAATACTGCAAGGAGCAGTTAAGCAGTTATGTGTCAGTATGCTTATGTCTTCACTTTTTTTCTAATTAGCACATATATATATATATATATATTACATTTATGTGTACTTTAAACAAATATGCTCAAGTATGGTAACCCTACACTTACAGGAATGACAAATTCTACCTGGCTTTCCAGGCTAATGGTTACTATAGTATTTATGAAAGTACTTGGGCACATCCCTGCTTTCCAAGCACAACTGTCTCTTATTCAGATAATTGCATGTTACCTGAAACAAAAATTAAGAAGCATCTGGGTTCCCACAATTTCTTTATTTTCTTCTTTGGTTACCTTTTTTTTTATCATCTAAAAAGATATTAGATGAAGAAATGTTAAAAAAAAAAAAACGAAACTATTTTTTTCATTGTAAAGCTGTTGATTCCCTATTGATAAGTTTTGAATAATAACATCAAGTGTATGGTATGTCTGTGGCTTATGTTTCCTAAATCCGTTCTTTCCTTCAATACATGCATATTCTTCTCTTTTGCTTATAGGGCTTTTGAAGATGTGATGGTCTTCTGGCGTGTGACCTTTAATAAAACAGCTGTTGTCCTTCTGAAGGATGGTGTGAACTTGGAGAATGAGCTTGTATCTGTGCTGGGAGCCACGACCTGCATGGCAGGTCAAACAACGTGCAACATTTCCATTGAAATAAAACCTGATCAGGTAAGTAAGTATTGCTCATTTATCTACAGCATTGAATTGCAATTTGTCAAGATGAAAAAGCTCTGGTCCAGAGGAAATGATGCTTAGTTTGAGAATAGTAACTTGATATCTGCTTGCCTTCTCTTGAACATGTTTATTTATAGTCTTGTACTGCATCCATTGTGACTGGTAAAAATTTGAGAAGGAAATAGGTATTTAGTTTGAAGAGTAAATTGCAGATCTTAGATTTTATAAAACAGTAATAAAAAAGAATGGAGTTGTTTCAGTGAAATATTTGGTCATATACTCTTATCCTTCACACAATAAGTTTTTCTTCTATCAAAGCATTTCTTAGGGTGGTTTATGGAAAACATGTTATAAGTAATATTTCATTGCACAAAAAAACCCTTCGAGTCTAACTTGTGTGTAATTTTAAATTCCTAAATCTAGCGCAGTGATCTGTGACAGCTCATAAAACTGTGTAAGAATCTCCTAGTGTCTAAATATCTGTCCACATCCACTTTGTGAATAGTGAAGTTCAATTTAGGAGCCATCATCCACTAAATTGCATTTGTCTAAGTCTAACAGCCTTGCAAGACCCAGCTGGCACTCTAAATTACAGACATGATTGTATTAACACAAAATACAGTGTTCAGTCATGTTTATTGAGAAGGAAAAAATATTTTAGTGTGAATAGCTAGTGGTTAGAGTAATCCCTTAAGAAAGGAAGGATTAATGTTTGCCATTCTTTTAAAGTTGGAGAGTTTTAAATTTTCTAAAAAATTATCCTAGCACACAGGCTAGAGGCAAAGCCAAAGTCTGGACAGTGGGAAAACACTAGTTGGGAAGATTTCCATGGTTTTTCTGACTCAGTTCTAGAAAATATTGCAAGATGCTGTATGTGGGAAATAGGTATTTCCTGTTTAGGAAACAGGATGCATTCCCTTAGTTCACTAAGAGGGCCATTTTCCTTCTCCATCTTCAGATGTTATCTTTACATTACAGAGCAAATGAATAGGTGTATAGGACACAGGATGCCCTGCTGAGTAAACTGAGGTTATGACCTTCCATAGACCGAAGAAGTGATATCGGTATTTAATGACAGCAGTGCAGAAGCTGCAGACACATGCAGATGTGCCACATGAAGCACAAGCCTGTGCCATTCCAGCAAGGGCTAACAGAAGGCTGGAGCTCCCCATTCATTCCAGTATGATTGCACCTATCATTACTCAAAAACATTTCATTTAGAGAACTACTTAACAATTTAATTGAAAACATATGCTGTTTATCCCTCCAAATATTTCCTAATTATTCTTCCAATTCTTCTTTCATAAGTTAGCTTGTAGATTAGTAGTAAATGTGTAAAAAAATGATGAAGTAAAAAATATATTAAATTAATACTTTACATTTTTGTAGGATACATTCTCGCTTTTGTAAGTTTTACTTCATCAGCAGTATTGACTTTATTAGCTAAAAATCCTAGATTTAAAGTAGGATTTCCAAGAATTCAGAGCTGAAACACAAAGCTTTTTCATGTAGTGGGTTTACCCTAGCTGAATACCAAGCACCCACCAAAGCTTTTCTATCACTCCATTCTGCAGTTGGGCAGGAGAGAGAAAATAACAAAGAGTTCATGAGTTGAGACAAGGACCAGGAAAGATCATTCACCAAACATCATCATGGGCAAAATAGGCTCAAATTAGAGATATTAATTGAATTTTTTGCTAATAAAATCAGAGCAGGATAATGAGAAGTAAACTAAGACCTTAAAACACCTTCCACCCTCCCCTCTTCCTTCCAGCAACAAACAGATTTGCGAAATGGGGTGTTTTCATAATAATGAAATTTCATCACATGTTGTTCCTGCTGCTGCTTAGGAGGAGGAAGAGTCTTTCCCCTGCTTCACCATGGGGTCCCTCCAACGGGAAACTTCTTCAGCATGAGTCCATCCCACAGGCAGCAATTCTCCAGAAACTGGAGAACATAAGCATGGTCATCCTTCCATAGGGTGCAGTCCTTCAAGGACAGGCTGCTCCTATGTGAATGCCCCCCATGGTCACAAGTCCTGCCAGCAAAAGTCCCTGTTCCAGCATGGGCTCCTTTCTGCATGGGTCTGCAGACCCCTGCCAGCAACCTGCTCAAGTGTGGGCTACCCATGGGGTCATAACCTCCTCTCAGGCATCCCCCTGCTCCAGTATGGGCCTTCTCCATGGGCTGCAGGTGGATCTCTGCATCCCCATGGATCTCCATGGGCTGTAGGGACATAGCTGCTTCACTATGGCCTGCACCGTGGACTGCAGAGGAATCCCAGCTTGGGTACCTGGAGCACCTTCTTCCCCTTCTCCACAAACCTTGGTGTCTGCACAGTTGTTCCTCTTATTTGTTGTCACCCCTCTCTACTCTGGCCGCAATTCTGACCACAAATGGTATCAAAATGGTATTGCCTAAGCTCTGAGATTTTCAATAAATTCAGTTAAGTGTGCTAATCTTCTGAGTTTTTAATTTCTTGTAAAACATGCATAAACATATAAAATGTTGTATATAAAATGTTTTTCAGAATTTTAACTGAGTTCAGTACTTGAATACAGGGGAGTTATTATGTAAATTAATTGCATTTTCAAAATTGCATATTTAATTCTGTGCAGGTTTTCCAAAAGTGCGTAGGTAGGTACAAGCCTTTTTTTAAGGTAAAAAGAAAGAGCAAATTCTTCATAAACTGTACATCTATGTAAATCCATAATCTGGAATATATCAGTCTTGGAGAGTTTACTGTCATGTATGTCAAATTTACAGCCACAATGCCTGCTATTAAAATAGCTATTTAAATAACTACTTTATGCAGTAAATTCCATGTGAAAATCTGGGATTTAATTATTGTGCCTGACAGAGTGAGGCAGTATTGTTTTTAGGATACATTTTACTGTACTTAGTGTTCATTTCTGGAAGCATGCTTGTGGGAAGTGTTATTAAGGTGATCCACTGTGTGTACAACATAATACATAAACATTTTTTTAAAGCTGAAAGTTATTAATAGATCTTATAATGATGTGAAAATCATCCTTCACTTACAGGTACCAGAATTTGAAACTTATATTTTTGTTGAGCTGTATGCTGTAAGCTCAGGAGCTGCTTTGAACAACAGTGCCAGATTTGCTTTTATAACTGTCCTGGAAAGTGATGCTCCTCATGGTTTAGTGTATTTTGCTGTGGGATCTCGATTTGCTGTGGCTTATAAGAAGACAGCTTTAATCAGTCTGCAAGTTCTTAGAGACTCTGGTACATCAGTAACCACAATGGTTAGCTACAGTATGCAGGTAAGACATTATTATTTAATTTATTTTATATCTTTTTCTGACCTTTAGGGAAGCAGACTTCTAGCTCTTCAGGTAAGAGTAGTCAGGGGGTTCCCCTGGGAAACTGCCCTCAGCTGACAGATTTTTTAGAGGGTCTTTCATAGAACACATGAACTAGCAATGCCCAAGAGCAAGAAATCGGGCAATGAAGGCAGGAGACTGGCATTACTGAGTCAGAACTTGCTGGTCAAACTAAAGAGAAAGAAGCAAATACCCAAGCAATTGAAGCAAGGACAGGTGAGCTGGGAGGAGAACAGAGATGGAGTGTGAATGTGTAAGGCAAGCCAAGGTGAAGCTGGAAGTGAACCTGGCAAGGGGACACAAAAAAACCAGGAAGGGCTTCTAGAGGTATGTTAACCAGAAGGGGAAAGTCAAAGAATGTATTTCCCCCAATAAACAATGCTGGAAAACTGGTAGCGACAAAAGGCTAATGGACTCAACAACTTTTCTGCCAGTCTTCACTCACAACCTTTTTTTCCTACACCACTGAAGTTGATGGACAGCAGGATGGGGGAGCAAGTGTCTCCCACTGTATGGAAAAATCAAGTTCATGACCACCTGACAAAACTGAATGTACAGAACTCCATGGGATCTAAACTGGTGCATCCCAGAGTCCTGAGGGAACTGGCTGATGTTCTTGACAAGACAGTCTCCCTTGTTACTTGAAAAGTCTTGACAATCAGGTGAAATCCCTCATGACTGGAAAAGGGGTGTTACTATACCCAGCTTTAAAAAGGGAAGGGTAGAGAGGAAGACCCTGGGATCTCCCAGCCAGTCAGCCTCACCTTTCTGTCTGGGAAGATCATGGAACAAATCCTCCCAGGAGGTCTCCTAAGGCACATGGAGGACAGGGAGGAGATTGCTGAGAGCCAGCACAGCTTCACCGAGAGCAAGTCCTGCCTGACCAACCTAGTGGGCTTCTATGATGGGGGATTACATCAGGGTACAAGGGAAGGGCTACAGATGTCATTTCTCTGAAATTCTGTAAGGCCTTGACAGTCCCCCATGACATCCTTCTCTCTAAATTGGAAAGAAGGATTTAATGTTGGATTTGGATGGACTGTTGTTTGATGGATAGCAAAGTGGTTGGATGGTGACCACCAGAGGGCTGTAGTCCGTGGTTCAGAGTCCTGGTGGACACCAGTGACAAGTGGTGTCCCTCAGGTATCTGTGCTGGAACCAGTGTTATTTACTGTCTTCATTAACAGTGTAGATGAAGGGATTGGGTGCAAATTTGCAGATGACACCAAGCTGAGGGGTGCAGTTGACACTCCTGAAGGATGGGATGCCATCCAGAGGCACCAGGAGAGGATCAACAAGTGGCCCCTGGGAATCTCATGAGGTTTAACAAGACCAAGTGCAAAGTGCTGCACCTGGGTCAGAGCACCCCAGTGCAGGCTGGGGATGAACAGATCGAGAGCTGCCCTGCCCCCAAGGACACGGGGGTGCTGGTGAGGGGCTGGACATGAGCCAGCCACGGGATCTCCCATCCCAGAAAGCCAAACGTGTCCTGGGCTGCATCCAAAGCCCCGTGGGCAGCAGGGGAGGGCAGGGGGGTCAGACCCTCTGTGCCTTTCTGGTGAGTGTGCTCGTGCAGAGCTGCCTCCAGCCCTGGGGTCCTCAGCACAGGAAGGACATGGAGCTGTTGTGGCAAGACCAGAGGAGGCCACTCAGTTCATCAGAGGGATGGAGAACCTCTGCTCTGAGGAAATGCTGAGAGAATTGGGATTGTTCAGCCAGGAGAACAGGCGACTTTGGGCTGATCCCATTGCAGCTTTGCAGCACCTAAAAGAAACCTGTCCAAAAGTTGGAGAGGGACTTTTGGCAAGGGCATGTAGTGACAAGACATGAAGGAATGGCTTAAAGCTGAAAGACAGCAGGTTTAGATTAGATATCAGGAAGAAATTCCTTACTGTGAGAGTAGTGAGGCTCTGGGAAGAGAAGGTTGTGGATTCCACATCCCTGGAGGTGTTCAAGGCCAGGTTCAGTGGAGCTCTGAACCACTGATCTGGTGAAAGTTTTCCCTGTTCACTGCAGGGGCTTTGAAACTGAATAGTCAGTCTTTAAGATTTTTTTCAAGCCAAACAATTTGTAGAATCACATATTTTATGATTCATTTAATAATTAAATAATTGGTCATTCTTTAAAGTAAATATGACTGTGGTTAGCATATTTTTCAGGAAACAGTCAAACATTTCCTGGGCTGAGCTTCTTTGGTTTTCCACTATTAAAAGATCTTTTTCTCATTGCATTGTCAAGAATGTTTTTTTTAGCAGTATTTATTTAGCATTTTTTTTCAGCAGTGGAGTCAAAGATTATGGTCAGCCAGGCATCTAATATATTTCTTACTTTGTTCTAAGGCTCTTGTGAGCCTTCAACTTTTGAGGCTTTTTCATCTGTAATTAAGGTTTTATCTTGATGCATATGTATACAACATCCAGACATGAGGACGCTTGCTCTGTTAGGGCACAAATTTGTTTTACCAGACCATACTTAGGAAAAGAGAAATTTAATCAAATTTTATTCAATATTCTTGGAGTACTAAATAAAAAAATTGTTCTTATCAAAAATAGCATGTGTTAAAATAAATTTTATCATCTCCACTCATTTTTGAGATGTTTATGTTTTTAGCACAAGACTCTTAGAGCTGTTGACACTTTCTTCTTTTAGATGCATACCTCATTCATTATTATTGCAGCTGGTGATATTTCTCTCTGCCACTTCCTTAGTGTCTGTAAATCCAGCATCAAGGCGCAGGCTACAAGACATATTCTTTCAAGTTTACCATCATATTGGAATAGTACTTGGCCTCATCTGCTTTGAATATTTATGCTTTTATGACTAAAATCATTATTTTGAGGATGAGTTATTATAATCTTACCATTTATAATAAAAGGTCCTGCATTCTGTTGTTATATTGAATGCATGTCTGTTTCAACAACATAGATTTACATGGTGTTTCCATGCATTTATTATATTGTAGTTGGCCAGTGTTTCAATTAGATTGTGTGGTAACAAAGTTTCACATTTATTCAACCTAAGAATTCACTATAATTTAGCTGTTAAATGGAAAAGAAATTGCTACTGCCCAGTGTATATTTAAGCTAAAGTATAGTGGGCAATCTCTTATCCATTTGTAATATTTATAACCAACCTTCAGACATTTTTCATTTTTGAGGATGGCCAATTACTTAAGTATTGGTATTATTAGTAGCTTTAAAATAAGAGGGCACAGAAGACAGGAAGGCAGTAACTGGAAACTGATGTTTCTTTCATCCCTACAAAGGTTTCTTAGACATTGTTCTTGTCACTAGTGCTTTTATTACTGCTTATTTCCATTTTCTAGTTCTCAGTGTGAAGGGATAAACAAAAGGAAACTTCCCCTTGGAATTTTCACAGGTGAAGTGATCATGTCTAGTGCACTTTTGAGCAGTTAGATGTTGCATTGACTTAGTAGGTTCTCCAGTGAACTCAGAAAATATCTGACTCATTCCATAAATAAGCTCTACCAATAAAAGCTAAATATTTTCAAATGGGGTCTAGTATTTCACAAATGAAAATCCTCATTTTATTCAATAGGAGGCCTTTTCTTAGGAGTCAGTATACAAGATTCACTTATTAAATTAAAATGTACTTTTGAAAGATAATATAGCTCAGAAAGTTAGGTTCTTAAGGAAAGTTTATTATATTACCAGATATAATGTCAAGGTTATGGCATGAGACAAAAAGAACAGGACTTTGAAGAATGAAACAGTAACTGCAAACCTCATGGAAGGTAAAAATAATGTTGCTTCCCAAGGAAATAAGGTCATGTAGCATTAGTAGATAGATTTATCTATCCGCCTTGCATGTGTATTTTATGGTACTTGCTCTGCCTTTGTTTTAAATGGATTATTCATCTTTTAAGTATTCTGGGACTAGAATACCATGAATTGATATTAATTTGGAAACAGATTTCCAAAATCTTTGCTTTGCTTTAATTTTATTTAGTTTTCTATGTATGTGTAATGTTTTTCTTTACAATAAAGTGAGGAACTTTGTGCTGCAGTCATGGTCTTAACATCAACCCTTCTAGAGTTCACATATGTTTAATACGTTTTGATTTTAGCCATTTAAAATATGTTCTACAGCAGGTGATTTTGAACAATTATGTCTATCATAATGCTACCTAAAATTCTTTTGGTTTTTTTTAAGGAGCTACAAAAACCTGAACCTATTGGACGGACCTTCGTATCTCCAGCTGTGGCAGGACAAGATTTTGCCAGATCTGAAGGTTTATTGACTTTTGAACACGGACAGAGAAATGCATTCCTGGATGTGACCCTGACTCCAAAGACAGGATCTTTAAACCCATTTCCTAAACGTTTCCAGGTTGTACTTTCTAATCCCACAGGCGGTGCCAGGGTAGATGATGTGTATGGTGTTTCTAACATCACCATTGTCTCAGATTTGGACTCCTTGCCAGTTTGGGGACTGATTGATCAACTGCATCAGCCTCTTGATGACACCATTTTACACAAAATCCTTCAGAATCTGAATGTCAAAGTGGCTACAGAAACTACAGAAGAGCAGCTTACTGCTGTGGTGCATATAATAGATAAGGTAAACACTTTCTGTTCTTTCTTAAAAGACTAATAACATTAATTAGAGTATAATAATGCAACAACACACACACACACGCACACACACACACATATATAGATATATATATATATATATATAGATACAGATATTTAAAATAAGGTAGATCACATCCACAGCAGTGACTTGGAAGCACAGACTGCAAAAGTAAAAGTGGAAATTGTCAAGTTCCACAATCAAGGAAGAGTTTGCCACTAAGTAGGACAGTGGCAAGAAATCAGAAATCAAATAGGTTGAAATGAGCAACCAGTATATTTTTCATACATACCTGTAGCTCAAGATTTTCTACTGTTCAATTTTCCCTTTGGTGCTGTTGTTTGATGCTGTGTAGAGCTTATTATGTTTTCTTGACTTTTTTTTTTTAATTATGTTTTTCTTGACTCTCAGGTCACACCTTTGGTTTTTTTAGGCCTGGCACAACCCCTGCTCATATCTTCACAGCAGACTGCAGTCAACACACAAACAAATCTTACTAACTGGAGTCTGCTGGAGTCTTAACCAAGCATCACTCTTTTTTCCTCCAGTAGCTTAGGGAAGTGGGCTGTCAGGGTAGCTGAGTGCTTAAGCATTGCACTAAGCTATATGTAAATTATGAACTAGTTTTATGGTATTCTGTCTCTTCTGGACTCTTGGAATAATGTACAGAAGCTGGAAAGTTTCTAAATACCTAGATATAAATATAACAGTATCCATTAATTTTTGATTGTTGCCACACAGAAAACAGAGAAAATAATTTTAAAAATTCTCAGGACTCAGCAACCTTTGGTTAGTGGAAGAATGAAAAATGCCACATCCTTTCTTTAATAATCAAATGACCTAGTAAGCATAGGAAGTGTTACATGCAGATTCCTTTGTGTAAAACGTTGCTTGGTTTCTTCTCTCATTAGGTTACAGGTGTAGGTGAAAAACTGTTACTCACTGATAAAAGCAGAAGTCTTTTCTATGAGATACTCTGTGCTCTGGCTAGCCCAAAACGTGAGGACACACAAGGATACAGCCTGCTTGCTGAGGTGACTGAGAAGTTTGCTTTTTCTCTGTTGACTGGGATAAAGTGTGGATCACCAGGAGAAAGGTTAGTAAGCTTGAATTCATAATATATTTTGCAAATACATGACAACTTCCCAATACAGAAAATGTAAATTGTATTTTCAGAAAAGGGACTTGTCTTCTATCTAGTATGTTACCCATATGTGAATGTGTTGTCATGGTGTCATGGTCTTACAAAGCACTGTGTCATAGTGCCAATATATCGTCCTTTGTAAGACTGGGTGTCGCACATAACTGTTACTTTTGTAGGGGTATATGTGGGAACATGAGTCAGGAGATCTGGTATGTATTGACCCACCTTCAGCTCAAATATTGGCTGGAAAAATATTCCTTGTTCTTGCTGAGAAAATAATATGTAATTGTATGATGCAGAGCTGTGTTCTAAGCCTTAGATGAAGATTAGAACCCAAAATTTCTACTGGTATTTTGGAATTTATATGTTCTTGGTTTTGCACACTTGAACATTTAAAAATTTTTAAAGCTACTCATAGTTTCAAATTGCTAGTTTTGTCTCCAAGGGCATAATACCCTCATCAGGCTAATGGGCAGGGGAAATAGGTGACTGAAGAAAGAGATTATTCTTTTTTATGAGACAGATGGTTTTAAACACTGTGTTTCTCCCACTGAGGATCTATTAAGCAGCTGGTGGTGGAATACGTGTTCAGTGTTTAGAACTTAAAAGTTCAAATTCTTTATTCCAAGTATTTTTTGCATCATCTGTTGGGGAAAAAAAAAACAACAAAAAAACCAAACCAAAACAACATCATCCATTGAATTCCTCTCCTGCTTTTTAGACTCAGTTCTACATCAAGTTGTAAAGATGAGCATTTTGACAACTTAGTTCACTATGGATAGGATTTAGTTGCAGATCATAAGGAGCTAATCCCAGCGAGGAAATGGAGAAGCTGAAATATGTAAAAATTCAGACCTTTTTTTTTTTCGCACAGAAGCTGAAACAGTGTGCCAATTAAATATCACAAGCCTAAAAATGATGAATTAATAAAGTAGAACAAATCACAAATACCTTTTAGACTCATTATGCAGTGTATAGTGAAGCTTCGTCCCACTTACCAGCCCTATTGCTTTTCCATTTCCACAGAGGCAAAAATATCCTTGACAGCTGCCCATATATTGCAATAATGGCTCACAGCTGGTTTCCTCAGCAAATAAATGGACATAAATTTAATGGAAAAGATGGGGATTCCATTCAAGTACCTGAACATCTACTAGAGGTGTCTGTAGTATTATCATCTTCCCAGGAGGAGAACTGTGAATCCGTGCAGTTCACAGAATACAGCAGCCAGCAGTGGTTCCTTACTGGAGATAAAGAGCTTGCCCTGAAGAACAAGGTTTGAATATAATGCATTTTTCTTTTCCAAGAATTTGTTTTTAATCTAGATATTACTTAAAACATAATAAATGTATTTAATATAATATGAACATGTTTATGGTCCTCTCCGATTAAAACTCCGATTAAAACTGTGTTGAATCTTAATACTAAATATATCTTTACATTATACATGGTTTTTCAGGTTTTTTCAATGAGCTTGAAGGGTCGGAGTTCACAACCTTTGAAAGATAGCAATGAAGTAATTTATCGTATTTATGCTGAAGGAAGTCGGATTGTTCCACGGAAGTCTCTATGTCTGCTTTGGAATCAAGCTGCTGAAAGGTTATTTTATTATTGTATTTAGTTTTCCATTTTCTACCAGGAATCTGTATATCTGTGTAAAATGAGATAGGTCAAATAAAATAATTTGTAAGTATAAAATAGTTCCATTTCATGGTTTTTTTCCTTAATTTTTCTGGCCATTTTAACGGTACATAAAACTTTTCTTATAATAAAATGAGTAGTTATTCTAGCTCAGATATTTCTCAGACTTCTCCCCTTTTTTCATCAAAATATCATTTAGATTGTATAATGATGCATGAAGTTACAGTGACAGTCGATAAATCCCAGAATTGCATCAATGAATGTGTTAATGATTTGGAGATAATTATGTTCTGTTTCCATTTGAAGTCTAGTTGGTTTAGATTCAATTTCATTAGAACAACTAGATGATATCAGTCTGCTGTTGGTACAAACTGTTTCTCTTAAGGAGGAGATGCAGTGCATCTGCAATTTACCTGTATGCTCTCTGTTTTATCTAGGCACAATTTTCAGTAGAAATGGCTAAGGATATCACCTGTGGTATGCCTTATCCTTTTTCCAAACCACTTCAGCAATACTCAAAAAACAAACCTAAAACAACAAAAGCAAAAAAACAAACCAAAACAAAAAAAACAACCAAAAAAACCAAAAAACCAAACCAAAACAAAAAACCCAAAACAAAAAAAACCCTGAATATTAATTTCAAGCCAACAAAGAACAGTGTAAAATGTTCTCAATAATGGGTTAAGGTTATTAAGGAAAGTTAAGTAACAAGTAAGTAAGTTACGTAACAAACTCTTTGAAAAGCCAGACAGACTTAGAAATCTAGCAGAAATTTTAAAAATATGGCCACAAAAATTCTCTAATGAAAACAAGGTTAATTTTAATATATTTACAAAGATTAAAAAACAACCAAAAACCATAAAAGAGCAACATTTTAATCTCATGTAAATGTGGTATTCTGGACACTGCATATGAAAGATTGAAAGATGAAGAAAACAACTCTGCAACAGTTTAGGGAAGTTGATATTCCAGGAATACAACAAATTTTTTTAAGTCTGCTTACCATGTGAATTACACAAGTCCATTTCCAACTTTGTGAAATTGTTGTTTTGCAGCTGGCTGTCTGATAGTGGGTTCTGCAAAGTGGTTGATGACACATCAGATTATGTGGAATGCTCCTGTTCTCATATGTCTATTTATGCAGTTTATGCCCAAACAGATAATTTGTCTTCATACAACGAGGCTTTTTTTTCTTCTGGATTCATCTGCATTTCAGGTCAGTTCATTTATGACAGTTTTCTCACTAATAATAACTGGTGACCAGTAAAACTGATTATTAACATTTTTGGTAGCTGATGGCAATCTTTTTATTTAGTGGAATATTGAATGAATGTTAACTAACTTCATGTTACTAAAGGTGCCATCTTGTCTGGTATTTGCACACTGACAAATTTTGCCACTGCAAAAAAAATATCAAACAGAGAAATATCACAGAATCAACTAGGTTGGAAAAGATTTTTGAGATCATTGAGTCCAACCTAAGACCTAACACCACCTTACCAACTAGACCATGGCACTGAGTGCCACATCCAGTCTTTTCTTAAACACCTCCAAGGGTGGTGATTCCACCACCTCCCCAGGCAGCCTGTCCCAGTCCCTACTGGCTCATATTTTGTCACGTAGGGACAGCCTGCTCCTGTGCCTTCAAGATTTCTTTCTTGAAGTATGTCCACTTTCCTGGATCCCTTTGCTTTTGAGGGCTGTTTCCCAAGGTATGCTCCAAAACAGCATGCTGAATCCCACCCTCTGGAAGACTAGTGTAGAAGTTTTATTGAAGTTTCAATATCCTTGTTTCATCAAATATTAAGAACTCTGTTATTTCATGGTCACTGTGCCCCAGAGGCCTCTGACCACCACATCTCCCACCAGCTCCTCTCTGTTTGCAAACAGCAGGTCTAGCACAGCCCCACCCCTGGCAGGCTCAGTCACCAGCTGTGACAAGAAGCTCTCCTCCATACACTCCAAGAACCTCCTAGAATGCCTCTTTTCCACTGTGTTGAGCTCCCAGAAGATGTCTGGCAGGTTAAACCTCCTACAAGAGCAAGAGCTGGTGATCTTGAAACATCCTCCAGCTGCTTATACAATAATCTCCTCATCCTGGTTGGCTGGTCTATCAGAGGCTCCCACCAGGATGTCAGCTTTCCGATTCTTACCCATGGCACTTGATCTTCTTGTCATTAATCTCAAGTTCCATGGTGTCCAGAGCTTCCCTGACATATAGAGCCACGCCTCCAAGTCTTCTCCCTCTCCAGTCTCTTGTAGCTTGTAGCTGTCTTCTAAAGAGCTTCAAGTCTCTTGAAGAGCTTGTAGCTGTCCAGTGCAGTGCTCCAGTCCTGCGAGTCATCCCTCCACGTTTCTGTGATGGTGACAATGTCATCGCTTTCCTGCGGACATGTTCTGATCCAGAACAAAATTTCAC